TATAGATACATGTAGATCTTTCTCATAACTGTTGACTGAAATCGTCAAACGATTTGGTGCTTCTTCCTGTATATCCTTAACAATTCCCGAAATACTTCGGATGGTGGTCGTAGTTCTTCGGGTCTTTTTAGAGTAAGACCAGACACCGAAGGCTGCGCTCCTCTGTTTAAACATAATATGTGAATGGCAAACATGAAGGGAAACTTGAAACTTAGTTACGCAGAAAATTATCGAAGTTGTTGAAAGATGCAGAAGAAATATCAGTAGCCTTCGAATACAGCCGTCTGTCCTCGCTCCTCGCTGCTAGGGACGTTTCTCCTGGCGAAAATAATATATACATTTAGCCAGGGCTAAAAGCGAAGCAACACCAACAATTGATCTAATTGGCAAAAAAAAAAACAACTTTGCACGTGCAGCACACTTTTTTTTCTAATTAGCAAAAAAACAGCTCTGCACGTGCAGCAGTTTTTTTTGTACATTTCCTCGCCGTTATTTTACACGACTAAAAGGTGAAACTTCTTTTAACTTCCTATTTACGCGTTTTATGGAGGAAATGTTTGTGTTCCTGTTCACTCTGTTTTTTCACTGCCGCTCCTTTTTTACATTAGTAGCCGCTAGCATTTCTCATTTACTAACCGCCGCTATATAATTTTCATGTTTTTCTTCCAACGAAATTAGTCTCCGTTGTTATATATTTCTCGCTCCTGACAAGTGTGACACTTGATATCGGATTAAATGTAGTGGGTGTACGGACGGTCGACGTTCGTACGCTACGTCATAACCAAATTTTCTCGATGGATAGTTTACCAAATTTTCTTACCCATGGTGTTCCGCTGGCGCGCTTCGCGCGCGAGAGCTCCGCTATCAGTAGTCTTAAAAAGAACACCTCTCTAATCAGATTGAAGTTATTCCATATATGATTTAATAATTGATTGGTGTTTCTCTCTATACACTGATTAGAGACATTCCCGTGGGAGACCAAGTGGACAATCTTGTAATCCAGATCACACGGCTATTAACAAACATCGTGCCCGTATCAGAAATGTGGTGAGATCTGCTTGCTATCAAGTAAGTAATTTAGGTATGGGAAGGCTTCACATCTATTGTAGCTGTTCTCAGAGGCGAACCCGTATGTCCTGGAGACTAGTGATGAGTCGACCGTACAGCCGTTCTGTGGAAGGCAAGAGGAACTTTAAGATCCAACGACGCGACGACAACGAGAACGTCGCTTAAAAAGTGAATTTGCGTTCCTTTATTCTTAATAGCAATTATTCCTACCCACTTACTTTGTCAAATGTAGGCGAACCCTCCTAAAGCTGAATTTCAAGGGTCCATAGCCAAGCTCAGAAAGAGAAATAAAGTTTCGTCGTTGCTTGTTTACGTCCTCCATAAAACGCAAAGTTAGGCATTTTCACGTTGTAGTCGTGCAAAAACAGGAAAGAAATGTGCAAAAAAGTGTGATGCACGTCCAAGTTGTTGTTTTGCTTATTAAACGAATTGTTTTTTTGACGTTCTCGTTGTCGTCCGCGTCGTTGGATCTTAAAGTCCCTAAGGACGTTTTTGAGCTACACACGTCAACCGGAAGTGGTCGTTTTTTCATTTTTAGACCGTGGTTTTGCCCAAATGTTTGGACAAATCGTCTCTATAATAGTTAAGACACTTAGAAATACAAATTTGGGAGCGTCAAGGTGCTTTAAAATGAAAAAGACCTCACTTCCGGTTGACGTGCGTCGCTCAAAAATGCCTTTGCTTAAGCTCCCCAATATGACAGTTGCAGCGTCATCACGTCATTTCCATGGTCTATACTAGCTCTCGACCAATCAGCGAGCTTTAAATCGCTCAGTTATTGTTGAAAAAAAGGAATTTGAGCTTGAGTGAAAGAATCGGTTGACGAGGAGGACTGGACACCGGAAATAGTTGTAAGCACAAAAGTGTAAGGCTTCAAGTACTTGGTTAAAGGCGACAAAAACAAATGTACCCGTTACTCGCCACATATTTTTGTGTGCTTGACGCTCTATTGGAAGCAGTCATCACTATTTTACTCAACTCAGCAGTGAAGGGAATAACAACCCTGTGCCAACCAGGGCCAGGTCTCTCTTCTCCCCATCCACTGGACTGAGAGAAAGTTCCTGGAAACAAGGTTGCTTTAATCATTATCTAGGTGGTATTGTTCTGCGCATGTGCGATGTGCTGGTCAATAATCACTTACTGATTGTTTTGGTTGATAGGCGGCAAATCCACCTCCCATAAATCCACGGAGTACGAGTGTTCCTGCGGTCACGTGGTCACAACCACCAGTGGAGGATTTCAAAAAAAGGTTGGCTGAACAACCTCGTCTCCAGGGCTTTTCCCCTAGAAAGTAAGAGGGACGGGAAAAGCCCTGGGAACGAGGTTGTCGGTTGAGGCTTCTCTATAGTGTCATACTCGACAGTGAACGTAATCAGTTATTCTGTCATGTAGCACGGAAAATCTCCAACTTTCAATCTTTCTTTTCACCACCACTGCCCCCTTTATTTATTTTCTCATCCCTTCCAATTTCTGACGGAGAAGCCCTGGGCACGAGTTTGATTGTAAATTAATGACAAAGTAGCATAACACTGATGTTTTTATAACTTATCTTATTTTCAAGGCGCAGTGCATTTGACTTCGGACGACCATCCAATTTATATCGTAAGTACCAATATTGTAGGAGAGACACCAGATCGTTTGGTTCTGAGGGAGAAGGGCGGCGTGAGGCCAGAGCTTCACTGTTAGAAATTTAAAATTGAAATGCAGAGAAAGATTGCAATCGCAGTTGGTCCTAGGAACCCTAGACCGTATTACGGGTATAGACGATCTCGCCATCAACGAAATCGTAACCAACCAACCAACTCGTCACGGCAAGAAGTCAACTCGCCGCCAACCAACTCGTCACCAAGAAGTCAACTCGCTACCAACTAATGACACTGACACACTTACCTTATGTTTCATTTATTTCACAGTTATTAGTTGGTGCCAAGTTGGTTGGCAGCGAGTCGACTTCTTAGTGGGTCTTTGGTGGCTAGATGGTCTAGTGGCGAGATGACCATAATTCGTAGACACTCACCAACGAGAATAATGTTGATGGAAAATTAAGGCGAAGTTGTACGTTTATAGCACTTGCGAGGTTGATTGATTTTTACTTACTCACATCTTTTGGTAGAAAAACCTCTTCTTAGTGCATGAAATAGCATTTTGAAAGGTTTTTCAAAGGTTTTTTTAAGCTGTTGAGATAAGTAGTTTTTGAATTGAAAGCACAAAGATCCACGGACAAAGCAAGCCTTACTTAATACAGTTTCTTGCCTTTCTTAAAGACCTTCGGAAAAACTGATTTGCTGTTATGTGTTTCTTAGCTAATGACTCTGAAGAAATGCGCAATTTAAGAAGACGATCTCATCTTCTTTTTGATGAGTTACAACGAGAAAGAAGGGCAAGCACGCGGCTAAAGAGAGAAGTAGTTAGGTAATAACTGCACAAGACTTGAAGTTGATCTTGTTTCTGTCTTTTGTTTTTCAACCCATTATTTTCAATTTTTACTTCCAAAATCTATCTCTAATAAAGAAGTCTTATTTTGTTCTATTTAGGTTACGTGACAGTCAAGGGCGCTTTGGATATCTCGTTGAAGAAATCGACAATTTGCGGAGGGAAAACGAATACATCGCCCTTGAAATCCAAAGAAGGCAGCAAGCAGACGGTTTAAGTCGAGTCAACCAAGGTAAGTGGCGGGCAACTGTGATCTAACTTTTCTAGAAATACGTTATCGCAAAAACCTTGCGAAGCTGAGAAATGTTCTTTTATCTTGATTTTCACTCTCATTTCTTCGATGCGATTGGTCCGTATTGCTTCATTGTTCTCTGTAGAATACTTTATTATAAAGGAAATAAAGGGAGATGTAAAGAGTCAACCATAAGAGGACACAGAAAAAATCTGAGCCCCAGATGGGATTCGAACCCACGACCCTCCGTGTTCTGGATCGGATGCTCTAACCTCTGAGCTACTGAGGACTCATAGCTCAGAGGTTAGAGTCGAGTAGAAGATTTTTCCTCGCAGACTCGCCATTCACCGCGGGCTGTGCGCGGAGGTTCCCCGCCTCCAAAAACTACTCTCGCACTCCAATCGCGCAAGCTACTTAGGCTACAAAACTGGAGATAACAATCTGTTACACCTGCTTTTATTTGCAGGAAGTAAAGAGACACTTTGTTGCGCTCCTAAACAACACAGCCGATTTTAGGAGTGTTTTCCAAAGCAAAGACAACGACGAAACACAGATGTGTGAATGCCTTCTAAGACGTCAATTGGTCTTAACCAATTTCCGCTGTTTAGATGTTCATAAAAACGGTAGCTCTCTTTTTTGACAATCATATGTTGGGAATTTTGTTGCACAAAAATGACAAAGAAATTTGTAATATGAAAGTTGTATATTTTCTACTTAGAAGAAATTAATTTATCTTTGAAGTGTGGCCTTGAGAAAAAAAAATTTCTGAACTGGGATTATTTTCGAATCCTTCATAATACACTCTTTTTGCCCCCCTCCCAAATTTTGCAAAACCTATTGCTTTGAAATGCGCTTGAGAATATGCAGTTCGCTCAGGAGCATTTGAAAACAATAGTTTATGATAACTTTAATTCGGAGGCAAACCAAGTGAATTTTGGGTGATTTAAAAACAGTGAATCCTAATAGTCTAACTTACATGACGACGTCGTTTTTACCACTACCACCGAAATCCTTCAGGGTATTGCTTTCTTGTGCAAATTAAGGCTTTTTAATTTGAAAATTAGCAATTACTGAGTAAGGCTGAGTATATCGATATCAAGAATTACGCAGATCGAAGATCCTTATAAAGAATAAATATGACAATTTTTTTTCTTTGATGCAAGTTTAATCTTAGCAACATGAATTCTTGACTGTAACTTACTGAAATAATTTATTTACTTTAATAAATATTGTCTATATTTTTTTTCACTTCATTGTTTATTAACAACTCCCTATAAGCCTAATACAATTTCGTTACAGCGCAGTATCCCACATTCAGATACTCTTTAAATATATTACCATATATATTTGAAGTTCTATATTCTTCGTAAGATTAATCTATTTATCTTCACTTTTTAACTTCAGTCTTACTGAATCAAATAAACTACTAATCATGGAACATACTGTATAATTAAATAGTTGCATTTGCATGTTTTCAGGACAACCTGAAATGAGACGAGATCATTCAATGTGCTCTTTTTTACCGGCCGATCAGTAAGAAAAACAAAATGCGGTACCACATTCAAAACGTACATAAATCGTACTATAATAAATAATATTTAAGTATTATCTAGATGTTACTTTCAAGACTGAAATAAATGATTTAAATTAACTAATTGACTTAGTTATGTTACTTTGTAGGACCTTCAACTTAGGCAGCATAGCAAACCTAAGTGACGCACCGTAAGCGGAAACCTTTCCTGTAATGATGTGATACGTGGTTCTGGTATTTTCTAGATTATTGAACACCAAATAACTTATTCAAATCGATGGTTCTGTTGTCATAGTTCCTTGCAATTTTCGGCTTCAATTCTTACTCTTCGTACCACATAAATTGTTGGTGTTAGGAAAGGTCAAATAGACAATAGACGTCTATAGGTTACACCAGAAGCGTCTATGCTACTGGTTGCTCTTCATCGGAGCCGAAATATCTCTGATAAATATTACCTCTTAGTCAAAGCATGCTATCCCATGCTACTCTGTTTCCCAAAAAGGCACGGACGTAACATTATATTTCGCTTTGCACAATATCATCATATATATTTTTTTCAATTCTACCGTGCTGGTGAATTGGGCCATTGAAAATACAGCGTATCGGCTGTGTGTAGGCTGGATACCTTCTAAGTTAAATCATCTCTCTGAAAGAGAACCAACTAAGAGTGCATTCGACGCGCGAAGGCGGTCCAAGGACCGAAATGCATCAACGTGCCAATTCAATGTGATTATATAGATAAGGATTCAAGGCAAATCTTCTCCACTATTCCTGCATTAGCATGGGGTCTCCTTAGTCGAACAAAAAGATATTTAGTAAACGTTATTATCACAGTCATCAAGCGGTATATTCGTGCATTACTGTTAATGAATATTTCCTCAAGAGTCTCATTACCGGTCACCTCTTTCAGTAATCGGCTCTTGCATTTTCATAATAATTGCCTTGTTATTTTAAACTGGGTTACCAACAGAGACCTTTGGATTCTAACATGAGTACGACTACGAGTACGAGATTTTCTCAATACAAGGTGGTGCGCGCGCGTGAACTTTCGTCATTTTGACGAGAAAACGTTGTAGCCGTGGGGCGTGATCCATTCAACCAAAATTCACACCGGTCTGACCGCGAAAAGTGGTCCACCTTTCGAAACTTTTCCAGTTGGACCGAACCGATCCATTGAGTTTTGGACTGAGATTTCCGGAAATTTTGGTTGAATGGATCGCTCCCGTGGTCTATCTACTACGAGTTTAGCGAGGATGTTGTGTTGGCGGTAACAAGTTTCCAGTGTTTGAGGTCCTATCATTTTGCTGCCGGATGATGGCTTAACCTTCTTCAATAAAGATAACAGTGCTAATTCTTTATATGAATGAAAATAAGTGCAAGGAAGCTTTCCAGGGTGTCTTATATTTGAGATTACTCAAAAAAAACATGAAGTCAAATCTTGTACTCGTAGTCGTTCTCGTCGTAGAAACTGACGGTCTCTAGCTACTGACTAACCTGAGGTTGTTGCCACTGTTGAACTGGCTCACTTCCAAAAGCACTAGTATAGCAGGCTCTCTTAACAGTCACGTATTTTGCTGGCCACCGTTACTTCAAGTACTTTTCAAACAATCCCTGTTTATCCATAATGAAGACGTCCTCGTAGCCTCCTATAAACACATCATTAGCGAACACCATAGGCGTTTTCCTGGTACCAGCCTTGGAAAAGACTTTGTCCCTCTCCACCTTGCTCATTCCAACATCAAGAGCAATCCATGGATCAAAGTCAGGTCGGCTAGAGATGGCTTTCTCTTTTAAGAATTTTCCTAGCAGTTCGTTGTCCTTGCGAACCTTCAGATTGGTAGATGTTGCTGCGTAGTACACCCGAATTCTTCCTCGCCCGCCCAGGTCTTCTTTCCCGCGGGTGATCCCGTCGACGAGGCCATCTTCTGACACGTTGTTGATGTAAACTTTAAAGGGGCTCCCATTGATTGGCAGGTCACCCCATTTGATAAACACTTCGTAAGCTCCAGGTTCCGTGGGAATGTACAGCACGGTGTGATCGGTGAAACCGTCTTTCTTGACGCTTTTGACGTAAGGAACAGGGATTGAAACGGCTGGACAGCTAATGCAGACGCTCAAGGGGCCTTTTGTAGAGTTGTCAGTGGTAACAGAAAATTTACCAACACGTCCAACCTCGCCTGCAATCAAGCCTGGTCCATCTGCGGTGTTCACCGGAATTCTGGGCGGTGAAGATGAACTGTTCAAGGAGGGAGGATTGAGTGGGTGGTTTTTCATTTCTTCATCTGAAGATTGATATGGGGAGCTCGTCTGGCTTGTAGATGGGCTAGAAGCTCCTGAATGACTACCATTTGGAGACATTTTAAGCCCATTAGATGAGGTCCCATCCAAAAGGTCTTGTGCGTGAAACTTCGAGGGCGCCTTTGGAGTGTGTACACCATTTGGCGCAGGAACTGTGAGATAAAACGGACTTCTGAGTATGTGCGCCCCACAGTGTAGAATACTGATGACGTAATCTCCAGGTCTGGTAGGCAAGTATTTCACACAGTAAGTATTCTTGTTAACGGGTTTTACGCTAAGATCAGGTTTATCGTCATGTACGGCTCCTCGAAGTGGCTTACATTCGATTGCAATGGTTATATCAGTGGGTTTCGCACCGTTTAACTCCACTACAAACTCAGCAACTTTTCCCAGCTCACTCGATCTCAGCCCTGCGCCATAAGCCTTACATGCAATGTCTTGATCCGAGGTCCCTCGCCGTGCACTCTGACTTTTTCCGCTCCCAGTGCCTTTGTGCAGGCTCTCGTACTTGCAAAATAGCGCTAAGTAAGTTAAAAGACTGAGTTCGTCTAGTTGTCCAGACGCCAAGTCAAATGAGGAAATGACCTGCGGTATTCCGAACGCGTCATGCGCAATCTGCATCCCTAGCTTTGCGTTTCCTTCGCCATTAGATTTGTCAGCATAAAGTTTTGGAGGAATTAAACCAGGCTGAGTCGCGTTCACCAATTCACATATCAACACCCCGTCCTTCCAGTCTTTATCAAAGTTTGTTACATTTCGGTCTGGAAGCTTTTCACGAACCCAAGATAGGACGAAGTCTCTGGCTGAAGTCTGCGTTTTTCCAAACATGATTTGCAGGGGAATTATAAGATAATACAGCACCAAGTTCCAAACAAAAGCTATTATAAAGTCAATGTTTCCTTCAATGAAATTGTCTGGGTCTGAAATATTAAAAATAAAGAATATGACACAGTTAATCTTTCCCAAGAGAAAGTAAGCTAAGAGAGCTTTTTCGTCCTTATCCGAGGAGACTAGGAGGTCTGGCGATTTGCGGTTTCATCCGAGTGAAATGTCGTGGTTAAAGCATGTGAATAAATGCAAGGTCATAGGCCAATTTCCGTAACTTGAAAATAGGCCCATAATGCCTTAGTATATACGCTAATGCAGCAGTAACAACCGGCAAAGGGTTATGGGTAGATAAAGGATGGCAAGCGTGCGTGCGCATGCGTTACTGAAGAGCGGCGTTTCACGATTTTTCCTTTTCCCATATAAGCTGGGCATAGTGATTATTGAAAAGATAAATAAAACTAGTCTGAAATGTCATACGTCCCCACTCCCTAACCCGCGGGGGGGGGGGGGCTGGGGAGAGAGACTCTCACTCCCCCGCGCCCCCCACGGGTTGGGGGGTGGAGACGTAACATTTCACATGCACATAAAACGAGCGTTTGAAGCGTTATCTAAATAATAACCAGGTTCCAACGATTTTTCGTAAGAGGTGTTCGAATAAAATATTATTATTATTATTAGCGGAGCTCCACGCGCGCGCGAAGCGCGCGCGCGTGGGCGGAGCCCCATTGCTAAGGAAATCTACCCATACCAGAAAATTTGGTAATCACGTGATCGACCGACCGACCGACCGACCGACCGTCCGTCCGCACCACAGGCATACCAATGTTTACTCTCACACTTTCTAGCTACTTTGGGAGCCCAGGAGAAAGCTGATTGCACATCAATGTTGTCAGCAATTGACAGCTGTCAAAACAGGGTATCCGCTGACCACTATCACTTGACTGAATCGCGGGCTCAGGTGTCGACCCATGGAGGTCGAGTATTTTTTTGAAGTTATCCGCTGACAATTTACTCGTTTTCAAATGATCGCAGGCTCACGTTTACTTTTGTTTTAAATTCATATCAAATATGTTGTGTTTATGTCAGTATCGCCCCGCATTATTACGATTTTGATTTCAAACTGACTTCAGACGCAAAAATTCAGCCAGTGTTTTTAAAATACAGGCGGGGAAGACCTTGGAAGACCTTTTCTTACCATGGGCACGTGTTGGTCACGCTCCACGTCCAATTTTTATGCTCTGATTGGTCAAAATTTGACAGGAGAGTTCATGCGTAAAATTTATGCAGCATCTTGAAAGTTGTTTACTTTACAGCTGAAGCTGACAGAGTTTTGAGTCAACTTGTGATGTTTTTAACTGTCTTTTCCACTGGATGTGCAAAATGAAATACAGCTGCTATCAAGAGTGTTCTCTTATTCATGGCTGGTTTGTTTATTGGGTTTTTGGTAGAAAAATGCGTCGCTTGTCAAAGCCGATAATCCGATTTCGGATGGCATCGTTTTTGTTTTTCACCTTGCTGGATGCGTACGAGTATTATAAAGGCTCAAGCGATCCTTGCCTTACTTGATAGCTTTCAGGAGCTGCATCTCGAAATATGGTAAGCCTGAGTAATTACTTTATTTAAATATAATTTCATGAAGTCCAGCGGCGCAGTTTATGAAGCTAGTTTATGCACGTTTGTATTAAGATTTGACTGAGACACTGATCTGACCTCGTATGAGGTTTGATATAAGCTTAAGCTTACAGAACTTTAAAAAGACTCTAGTCGATATTAATTCACCTTAAATAGAAAGAAAAAACTTTCCGAAGAATATTTAGTTATAATTTTGGCTGTAGAAAGAAAGCTTTGAACGATTTTCTTTTCGTGAGTTCATCTTTGAAAACAGCCAACACCGGGAAACCGGCGGCTTAAAACATAAACTTTAAGCTTACTAGTAAAGACTTGAGGATTCTTAGACACACTTAAATACTCATTTGTTTTCGTGAATGAAAATTGTTGTCTCTGTAAATGTTCTATGGAATTATTTTTCTTTATTGATTTTTGGTAGTCTCAAAAGTGTAATTTTCATCGCTTTGCCGTTTGTTTTCATGCGTTCATAAACATCGCTCGCAGGAGTACTCAAAATGCCAAGCGTATCAAACGCTTTTTAAGATTACACATCGTTATAAAACCGTTAATAAAAAATAGACTCAGTAAATTCTTTATCACGTTGAAGCGTAACTCTTGTAAAATTTCTTCGCAAATTTGGTGCTTGTCAAAAGTTAGAACCGGCTGGCCGTATAGGTGATTTTGGAAATTTTTTGAACGGTTTCGCTAATTAAAAGTCCACGCTTGCCTCTATGGTCCTGAATATTGAATGAATGCAATTTGTCTTGAAAAATTGTGAAATACTGTATTTTGTACGACGTCTGTATGATAAAAACAGCGCCTCATAGTACTCTTTCTTCTCAGATGTGGTGTATAAAAAAAATAAAAGATTGGTTTGCACGCAACCAGATTTATTGGCAAGAATTTGTAAACTTGTCGAACGCAAAAAATTCGGTCTGATTTGTTTTCAAAGAATTTGTTTTGCACGCCTTATCTACTGTGATCAAGAGCCATCATTGCTCTTAAATGTGACCGAAGACTATTTTTTGGGTGTACATATAAGGCTATATCAACGCGATACAACATTTGTGTCACTCCAAAATCACTTAGCTTTTCCCTCAAAGGTCACATGAATGTGCCCTTACTTTAACTGATTTGTGGAATACAAAATTATTGTTTGATTTAAGTTATAAATTTATGAATGGGAGCTTCGCTTTTAGCTGTGGCTAAATATATATATTATTATTATTATTATTATTATTATTATTATTATTATTATCATTATCATTATTATTAATATAGTGACAAATCAAACAAAAATTCGTTTTGTTTGAAGCCAGGTATATGCCTCTCATATTTCATGCTACATGATATTTAACGGAATTATGTGCATTCACTTTTTAATTTATGCTGGATGTTTCTGCTCTTAATTTACACTTCTGGTGGCCATATTCACAATTTAACCCTTGATAGCACGTACCGGACAAAAAATTTGCATCCGTCTACCAAACCTTCTGACACAGTTGTTTGTCCTTCTGCCAATTTCATAATTGTTTTTATAAGCGGTTGAGTTGTAACACATTTCTCTCTGCAGCTGAGCCAATAATTCAGCATTTTTTTAAGCCCAAAAGATAAAGTTTTATTTCCATGATGTCTCTTTTCTTACGACAAGTTGCCCCGTCCAGTTAGAAATGATTAAAAATCTGGAGTTGATTTTGTTCAATATATATTTTCTTTGCCTTTTTAGATTTTTTTACTGGCGACTTTGAAAAATTCCGCATTAATTTTACATCACGTTCCGAGGTCTTAAATAACAGAAGACTTTATTAAAGCTTGCAACCATCAATTTGCATTCGAAAATACTCTCGTATTTAAATGCCAGCCAAACTTGCTTTACAAAGAACGTTAGGTGAAAATCACAGGTGTAGGAATTTCAAAATTTACTGGTGGTCTATTATGATTTTAGCCAGTTTTCTTACTTTCCTTTCCAGAAAATTTTCTAAGATTGAAATTTCGGGATCTTGTTCGTGGTCTAAAAAACAGAGAGCTCTGCCACTTACGTTGAAAAACTCTCGTCGATTTCGTGTAAATACTTCACCAAAACATACAAATATCGTTAATCAATATAAATAAAACATAATTTGTGATATAATGAAGACAGGAATATACTTAACTCCCCTTGGAGTTAAAAGAAAATAAGCCAAATTGAAACTTGGCTTTACAAGACAAGCTGCTTTTTTTCTCTGAACGAAGAAATATTAACCTGAAGAATCAGGATTTCCGAAAAAGTTTATTTGTATCCTTTTAAATTGCCGCGCCATATGTGGAAGAAACAGCCGGTTCAAGCGTAAACAAAACATGTCTGAACACGGAGGATCGCTACGAAAATCCGTCAAGCTGAAATTGCAAACAGGCATAAAGAAAACTAAGAAATTTATAATTTTCTTCCTTTACTTTTTTTCTGCTCAGCGATACACTACTGGGTTGGTTTTATAAAAGTTTCAATTTCACGCATTACATTGGCAAACTTTCGTCTGTTTTTATTTTCGTTGAAACGGAAATTTGGGAGTAAAGATTTTCTATGGCCCAGTTTTATTCATGTCAGGAAAAAAGAGCTTTTGCTATAATCGAAGGCATAAAATATTCCGTACACAAAAAAACTCTAAAACGTAAAAAATTGTTTGATTTTTTTCTCGCTTGATGGAATCGTTTGTTCGTTGAAAGAGGCAAACAAAGCTACTAAAAGTAAAATTTGCGTTGAAAGCGAACGAACACACAGGGGTACCCAACGACAATTTTCGGAAGAATATCTGTTCGGAAGACGATTTGAGATCTAGAATTTTCGGAACATTTGTTGTAAAATTTCTTGCTTGCCTGCCTCTCCTAGGATTTTCGAACATCTAAAAATGGTATAATTGCCTATTTTTAACGGATTTTTACCCTAAAAAGGTCACCTAGAATTTTCGGGAGCCTTTTTTCTGGCTAAAATTTTCGAAAAGGTAAGTTTTGATCCCTATAATTTTCGGATCACTAGACTTTCAGCTAGGAAATCCGAACAGATGAAAAATTTTTGGGGGATAAAAATATGCCTATATCTAACGTTTAAATACTAAAATACGTTTAACCATGCTATGTTTAAGTGGTTTTGAAGTATATTCTCGTTGGGTGCCCCTGAACACACAGCTCATAACTTATAGCTGTTGAAAATATCCGCAGTTGCAGGGCATGAAAATATTTAACAAGGTACAGAAACTGATTTTAAAAGTGACGATTTAAGCTAGGAAGAGAAATATATTAACATTACCTGAAACCGAAATTTTGTTTTCTTCTGAGGTTTCTTGTGTATCCGCAATAAGTTGACGGGAATTTGTCATACGGCGCTCAGATAAGGCTTTCTGCCGTTTTGGCTTTCTCCCGTGTGGTTAAATCATATTAAGAAACGTTCAACTGAGCGAACTAAGCCGTCATATAGGCTAAGATCCGCTTGTGGTAATGTCAGATGGAGCACATGTCACTTTTATACAGCCAGGCGTCAAAGGGCTTTACAGTATATATTTGCATATATACTTGGAAAAAATATATTCACATGCTGTAGCCAGACTCTCATGAATTGCAAATCACTTTAGTTCTTGCTGTGGGGAAGAAAAAAGCCACCGCGGATGACAAACAAATGGACTCAGTATGTGATTATAGCCTTTGAAACTTCTAAGAGTTATTTAATAAGGAGATGGAATTTCCTATTAGCGATAAAAAAAAAAACAACCTTTCGCACTATTTTTTGTGCAACAATCACAGAAAAAGCTTGATCTAAAAAAAACAAACAATCTAAATAATAACTGAAGTATATAAATAATTTTGTCTGAGGATTAAGAACCGTACCGCCATCATTGAAAATTTCAACTGCATTCGGTTCTAGCGAAAGGCATTTTTGATGGGTGGGATCGGATCGAGGCGTGCGTATGTCTCTTGTTTGAATTGCAAAACCCGTTCAGTTTCACGTATTGAGGAGAACGCTATATCAGGTCCTGTCGGTATTTTACTAATATTGCGTTTGCGTTTGTCTTCGTCACTGTCGCCGTTTTAAGTTTGAACCTATCTTTCATCTAGCCTGCGTGGCGGGCGATAAGGGGGAGGGGGGAGGTAGAAAAGCGCGAAAGCGGGGGAAACATCTCTCCTCCCCCCCCCGCCTTTCCTTTTCATCTGTCTTATACAGCTGTTTCAACGCCGTGTCCCTTGTCGGAATTTTACCCTAAAAGGACCTCATTTCTACCAAAAGACTACGAGAATGTTGTAAATCTTGCGTGGTAGCGTCGTGCTAGGAGAGAGATAAGCATGCGTACTAAAGGGCTCGGGCCCGATTCTGGGTCGTGAACTTCTTTTGTAATGAAGACTTTCAATAACAGTTAAAAAATAATCCAAGTCTTTTAAAAAGGGCATTTACTGTTTTTAAAAGGGAAACTTGCCTCGGCGAGTTAAGAGAGAGTCATTACGAGTCGAGACGGGACAAAGATTAGGCCCTAAAATCTTTGTTTTTCTCCCGTGTAAAACTTTGAGAGAATTTTCATTGACGTGATCTTCAATATACTGCACCGCGACAAACATTTACAATTAATGAAAAGGGCAGTAATACCTTAATAATTGTATATTGTCACTCTTGCAAATTTTGGCGCGGATGGTGTTAACTCAAGTATTTTCAGTGTAGGGTCTGCCAGGGGCCCAAAGGAGGGGTGGAATGGGAGAGGGGATTAATGGTATGCCGCCATGTATTAGTATAGTCCAAAGCTACCAATACTCCCTTCAGTATACTCAAAAAAGAAAGATGGGTAGTACACCGTACACTCAAAAAAGAAAATTAAAAAAAAAAATAAGGTCAGATCGGTCAAAGGATACCATAAACTAGCCTTCATTTCAACCGCTTTCTCAAGTTGCATAGCCTTCAAATACAGCCGTATATCTCTTCGCACCTCACCGCTAGGGAACTTTCGCAGGAGATACGAAGGCTACAAGTTGCACCGTCCCTAGAGAGAGACGGCTGAAACTCAGGCTACCGTATTTATTCGATTAAACGCCGCGGCGTTTATTAAATTTTTAGCGTTTCTAATGCGGCGTTTATTCAAGGGCGGCAAGCGAGTTTATTCGAGGGCCGGGCGTTTATTTCGAAATCACTTTTCTTAAATCACTGGCGACAGTTATTTGTAAATTGTTTGTAAATATTATGTAATTTAAAGGAATGTCTGGACGTTGTAAATTACCAAGTTGTACCGAGGTTTCTCTTATTATCGTCGAGTAAACGCCGCATTCTTCTGATTAGGTGCGGCGTTTATTGGTAATTTTGCTTCCATCGGCGGCGTTTGATCAAGGGCGGTGTTTAAACGGTAATCATAAACCAAATTTAAAAGAGCTCTGCGTATCTTGTGACCAAACTCTGATGCCGGAAAAAGACTGATAAAGCTAAAGAGAACTGGGGAAATTTTTGACGCTTGTTTTGATCCAAACGGTTTAATTAGAGACATACCGGTTGAAAAATTTGCTATGCGTGAGCGGCAATGTCATTTTTGATATACAATTTTCAGATTTCAGCATTGTTATTTTCCATTGTCTACGTTATGAAGTTTATCTAAATATTTTTAAACACTTTTTCATACCTATAAATTCCTCTGGAAATTCTTGGCTCGCCAGAAACCTGCAAACATTTTTCCAGCCAACATACTGCCGTTTCCTCCGCTGAGGTTCAAATATGGGCACAGCAATGCGCCTTCCAGATAAAACTGACAGCAATTTTGCCGTCACTCCACTGTCTAGGAGATCGATAATATCATCGATCGATTCGCCAACTGTTTCCAGATGAACATTGCTCCATTTCGTAAGAGTTCGTCTCCGGATCACCTGCATGTAACCAGCTAAAGGAAGTATAGTATTTCCTTTGGGACTAGCCTCCCTTGTCTCGTCGCGCAACGCTCGTGTCTCCTCCGTTTTTGCCTCGTCACACAACGCTCCTTTCTCCTCCTCTTGGCGAGCAGCGTTGCGTGACGAGATAAAAACGGATGCGAAGGAGACTACTTTTGGACATGCCCTTCCGCGAAATAATTGTGCTGTCATCTCTAAAAAATTGTTTTCGGTTTTTGATGTCGCGCCAATACGGAGGAAATGGCCATGTTCTAACTTCTTTTACGGGTCAACGGATCTGCCAGTCCACTTTGAAAAATGGCGGAGGTCATTCTTGTTCCAACTTGTTTAGAATTGTCATAATAACCAAAGCTTTCAACCTGTTGACATTGCAAACAAAACAAAAACGATGAGATTAATTGTACCCTCTGTCCCCTTTATTTCCCCATGTGTAACGCACAACACCACGTAGATTTCTCCTACACCTTTTGCGTCTTCTTCAGGCTATGTTCTCAATTTCAGCGCTAATGGTGATGTTCGTTTCATATGTTCCTCAAATTGCTAGCATTTTGTATAGGTCTGTACTGCTATAGCAGGAAGAGTGCGTTGGGACTTGATCTTAAATGTCCGTTTTAGAGAGCTCTGTCTGCCTTATAAGAATTACAAAGGGTCCCCTTAGAGACTGAAAATAATTAGTAACAAACGGCAGGGAAAGATTTGACTGTAAAGCTAAAAAAAGGCATTTTATTCTCTTCGTACTTTCGCAAACTGAATACTTTACTCCGCATACGACGCCGTCCGACCCATGGCCTTAGTCACAAACAGAAACCGGGTCCCTTCTTCTGCAGGCTGCGCTAGTCTTACTGTAGCCATAATAGGGACAGTAAGTCACAAGATAATCTGAATATCAGACCTTCCTCGGAGGGTAGAGGAGAGGAGATTTGAAAAATGTTTTTTTTTTCCTCTGGCTGGCTAGAAGGGACACACTTTATCTCCTTTTCCTCTCTTGGAGAGGGACTGAGAACGAGGTTGAAGCGAAATCCGGGATTATGAGGAAGCCTGGATTAGCTTGTGCTCTTGCTATTCCAAGGCACAGGTTTGTTTTTGAAGGGATTAAAGCAGCTCGTTTAATTAAGGATTTGCAAAAACATCAATATTTGTCGATAGTTCGTGCAAAAGGAAAAATTCTGGAAATAACAGGAAACGTTTAGTTTATAACCCATAAGCATAAAAATTCAGTTATCAGGCTCCAGTTTCTTTTTCATTTTCTGCAGTTTTGTTCTCACGCAAAAACCGGCTAGGATAACTTGAATATAGGTCCTGATACCTAGTTGTCAAACCATCAGAACTATACCTAGAAAACGTAACGACAATTTTCTGGTTTTAGTGGTCCATAGTTTCTACGGACCCATGCATAGGTTCGAACATCAAGCGTGGTAATGGCTTCGCTTTTCCAATGCAATATTGAGCCGGCGCTTTGAGATCGTAATAAAATAAGATGCTCCGTAGAGACAAGGAACACATTGTGTCTCTCAGGCATATTATCATTAGATTCGTCGCTGATTCTTTATCTTTATTACGATCATGAGGCTGTGTCATTTTCATTCCATACTATCAAGCGGTCAAGCAAATTGTTACCGCGTGACTTAAAATTCCTTTTCTCTCTTACCCATATTTATTTATGGCTGATTTCTTTTGTACCATTCAAAGAAATCGTATTGTTTGGATTTGGTGAACAGTGGCTGCGATTTTCAAAGTCACAACCCCGGAGATCCGAGATGGGGATGAGTCATCGAAGCGGGAATTACAAGAAAAGAAAGAGATGATTCATTGCTTACTTTCATTCCCTTGTCTAGATAATCTGTGTTTGGCTCTCCTGAGAATGCTAGGTTTTAGCAATGATCACTTATTTACACTCTTGGCAAGATAACACAAGCGTAATCACGACGACATTTTTAAAGGCAGCTTCATCCCAAGTATATAAAATTGGTTTTAGCCTCTGGATTACATACCCGTTTCTGTCATTCAGTATTACACGTTTTCTCCCCTCATCAGGCTTCTCAGTCCATCAAGCTATTTACACTAGAGGAAGATTTTAAGATTCATATGCCCTCTGTACTTTCTGTAACCGCGGCAACTGGAGCCTTGTTTGCTGACAATAATCTGTAAAATGATGGGTGGGCTATTTACATAACCAGATCGTTTGCTCACTTTTGTGTTCACAGAGTAAGCAGTTTAATTAAAGTCTCTCTCATCGACTCATACATCGTTGGTTTATTTGCCTCCGGAACTTCTTTGTGGACGCGCCCTTTTCTGAAAGCCGCGCTTTATTTTGTCCATTCATTGCCTTCAAGGGGAGGGGAGGGTAGTTGTGAAAGTATGAACCAAAGTATACTGACTAAAATTAATGCCAGTTTTTCCTTGCCAGTGTGATGTTTTAGAAACTAAGGGATAAGAATGAAACTTCATTTTCCTCGATCTGATTTCGCTCGCCGGAAATTCGCACTTTTGCATGTCTTTGGACAGGGGTGATGGAAATGACTCTTTGGGCAAGAAAATAATGAGATCGATCATAAGACTTTTCTTTTCCATTGCTTATTTCAAGGGATATGTTTTCCTTATCTGAATTTGTCCTATAAGTCTTTTTTCATGCATAGGGACATAACTTCCGCGATGTTAAGTACACTTGAGGCCAGCGAAAGGAACGAAGATCTACTGCAAATAATCAATGGACACGTCTACTGAGAACCAAAACATGCGCAGAGGACTTGACGAACCTTTACGTGTCACCCGCGCAACTGGAAGGGGACTGGGTCTACTTGTTATGTCAAATCTTTCAAAAATCACACCAGCAAGACCAGGATGAATTCACCGGCATTATTTATTTTATTGTCCACTTTCCTGTATTATCCTGTATTCTCCGAGGACTATTATGAGTTATTAGGCATTTCCAGGGACGCTAGCAGTAAGGACATTCGAAAAGCATTCAAAAAAATAGCGCTAAAGCTTCACCCGGATAAAAACAAGGTATGTTATCGGAGCTTGTACGCGTGAGTTTGATCACAGCTTTTGTGATACTTCAATATTTTCCTGTTTGGTTTTTTCAGCTGGTGTTATTTTGAAATATATTCTTTGCTTTTAACAGGATGATCCTCAAGCTCATGAAAAGTTTACAGCGATAAATAAAGCTTACGAGGTTTTAAAAGGTAGGAACAGAGGAAGACAGTAGCCATTAATTTTATGACTGTTTACATTACATTTTTTACGTGTACTATTGTTGTTCTATAATTATAACTGAACTTAAAACCATTAAGCTTATAATCAAAAGTCAGCTGTGTTTTTAATGACTATAATTCTAGGTTAGCAACCTAAAATCTGTTAAATATTCAATTTTAGTGGAATACTAATTCGCTAACGTTGTCATATCGTAATACAACATGCATAGAGTAGCTATAGTCTGAAATAATTAATATTTCTTCCAAATGCAATGATTATACCTTTCTAAAATTTTATTGAACTTATTCAGCAGCTGGGAAAACATGACCTTACTACTTTTAAAGACAATGTTTTCCCCTCAGGAAATTATTTGAAACAGTGCAGCTCTCACTATAAACCAAATTAACTAGACTACATTTTTATAGGGTACGCCAGATGGGTAGTATTAATCCAGACTTAGTTAATCGATAAACTTGTAATCTATAAAAATCAATAGTAATCGATATCAATCATCGATGATTATCGTTTTGCAATATCAATCGACAGAAATCAATGAAGAAAAAAAGTTGTGACTTCAATTAACATTGATGATTTTGCGATAGAAATCGATGATGAACTTTTTATCAATTGTTATCAATTTGTTAATCAATAATAATCAAAAAATTATTTTTTCTGTGACTTCGATTTCTATCAATTTCCGATATCAATCAATATTAATCGGCGGATTAAATTGATTAATACCAATGATATCGATTGATTTCCGATATCAATTTTTATTGATTAACTATGTCTGGAATTAATCTACCATTATACTCGAATAAATTTGTCAATATACCCAAAATTTCCCCCCAATTCTTTTCTTATAAGTAAGATTCCCTTACAACACCATACAATAATTGTTAGGCATCCAGCAATTTCACACTATTTTGCACAGATAGATAATATGAATAGAGTTGAAACGTGTGATGCTTAATCAATGTTTTAGCCTGTATGGAAATCTGGATTAATTGAGGTTTCTGGGAAACTGCCTACCTACCCCTCCCCAAACCCAACATTTTGCCCTAAGTGAGAAGTAAGTGTTAATGTTGACTTAGGGGATGGGTAGGTGGGCAGTTTTTCAGAAACCTTAAGTCTAAACCTAAAGGACAAGTAGTATACCATATACCGTTTACCCAAAGTCATTTTGTTTTCCCAAAATCCATGGCCAACCCTCATTAATTATAGGGAAGTCATTCCCTTCCCCTCAGCCCTTGGCTGGGCACTTTTTATTTTTTTCTTCAGAAAACTGCAAATACCCCACGGTTGAGCTAGTAGACCTGAAAGGAAAAATGGGGATCAGAAGGCAACTGACTGAAAATGCACTATGCGCAGTCTTTTTGCTGTTGGCCACTTAAGAAATGAGAAGGGAGCTGAAGCCAAAATGTGTCCTGTAAATGTTTTTGGCATCGATACTGGCCTGGGGGAAGGGTACTTGGGTTAATTTTAGCTGGGTATGTGCCGCTGGCCTCTCAGAGCCCCTAACCCATTATAGTCTATTCTGTGGCCTAATAATTATTATAGACCCCATCTTAGTCTCTTTTGGGCAAATAAGTAATTTTTGTGATCCCAACTTAGTCACTTTCTATTTATTTATCTACCTTATATTGAATGAAGAACACTTTCCTTTTCACCTACAGTACAAACATTCTGGCATGTTTTGTAAATATAAAGAACTGTCTTACCCCAAAAATCAGAAAATGTGCAACCCCATTCTAGTAACTCTATTGAAATTGCTACCCCATTAAAGTCAATCCAGTCCTGAAAATTCGACCCCATCCAGCAGCACATCCCCATTAGCTTCTTACGAGGAAGTACCCCCCCCCCCCCCACCATGGGGGACACTGGGGTCATGCCAGTCAGCTATAGGTCAGTTCTTTCCTCTGTCCCTAGTAACAGTTCGAGAAGTCTTTGCAAACGTTATCTCACCCCAGTATCAGAAGTTATCAAACCCCATTTTCTGTTAGCCATCCTACTGAGTATGCCTGCTCTGCACTTAAAAGAGTTGACTACCAATAGTCAAGGCTTCAGACATTTTTTTGTGTGACATGATATTAATTTTATTACATCATTGTCCATTGTGAGTAAAGTGGAATACAGTGGCATGTGTTCTACCTGTACATAAACATTTTTATTTACCTTTTGTGACATTATTAAATGTGTGTTACTGTTTTAATTTAGATGAAGAGCTTCGTAAAAAGTATGATGTGTATGGTGAAGAGGGTTTAAAAGATGACCACTTTGATGGAGGACATTACCAAAGCTGGAATTATTTTAATGAGGAATTTGGTAAGATTGTAGCATTTACAGAGGAGATGAGTTGTTTTAACTTCATTTTATTATTTCAACTCCGTTATCTTGATTTACAATTTGCAAGTTACAGCCACTGTAGAGCTATAATGTTATTTCGTTAATAAACCACCAAAAAAGTCTTAGAAGAGTAAAATAATGTAGATCTTCAGTGCCTGTTACATATTCACTAAGCCTCTTCTTCACTGAGCTTAAAATTTACCACCTTTCTTTATTTATCACACACATGACGATTTCGACATTGCTGATCCCAGCAGTACATAGGACGCATGTTATACATGAACCTTGTATATGGTCCAACTCACCAAGAGTCCTTCGTAGCTCAGTGGTTAGAGCATCTGACCAGTGTACAGAAGGTCATTGGTTCTATTCCTGTTGGGGACTCAAATTTTTTCTTTATCCTCTGCTCATGACATGTTGATCACATCACTTCTCATTTTTTTCTCATTCATTTTTCTTTACAAGTAGTTTATCATATTAATTTCTACTTTAACATTTTCATAATACACTTTTGCCCCCTAAAATTTTGCATTATCATTTTTCTCTTTTTCTCTTGGAATTTAAAGTAGTAAGAATTAGATGCAGTACAACCAATCATCACCAGATCACACAGGAAATGAGACCTTTTATTTATTTTATAAAATTGCTTAAAACATGTAGTACCAACTCTTTTTTATTTATTTATTTTTATTTTATTTGCCACACAATAATGAATTACAAATAATATAGGATATGTAGAAAAAAGAAGTGGCAAGGAGACCTAACAGAAACTTATGCGAGGTTAGGCATTCTCAAACTATGGGCTTGAGCTGTTTACATCAACTAAAGAAAAGATGGGGCGTAAAGTTGAAGATGGAAAGATTTAAGATTGGTTTCCATATTTAGTTAATAAATCAATTTTCAGTATTTTTTTTTTAAATGAGAAAAGCAATTGACAGTTTTGTTGATCTCATTGTCAAGTGAATTAAAAAACTTAGGTCCTTGAAAAAAAGGTGAGAAGTTTGTTAGTGTTTGTTCGACAATACAGTAGACTATTTTATATACAACTGGGTACATGTAAGTCCTGTAAAATCAAATTAGTTGCTAACTACTGATATTTTTCTTATCACAGGAATTTATGATGATGACCCAGAGATTATAACATTAAGTTACTCAGATTTTGGTGGGTGTGTTAATAATACATTTATACTGTAGATTACCTCCCACAAAACTAGTTGAGATAAACTGGAAAAATCCTCCATGGTTTTTCCTATCTTCTGTGCAAAAATAGAAAGTATTTCTAAATGAATCTGTTCATCGTCTCTCCCAATCTTGTTTTGAATGATACGTCTTTGTGTTTAGTAAACCAAAACAACATTGAATGGTGGTGAGGACCAGGATAAGTTTGTCCTGTTTTGGTGACATTTTAGCATCGTGCTCACCTAAAATAGAGGTGGACCTGTCTGAAAAGTTTCATCCGAGGTTTTTTCTATTAGTTCCTGAATTGGCTTAAAATTTACGTACCTCTTTCTTGACTGTTTTACCTCAAAAACACATGGGGAAACTTAAAATGTTGCTAATCCTTGCAACGAGCCGAAGTGATGTTAAATATGATTCTGGTATAATTTTTTGTCATTGCTAGCCCGGGCTAGATTTCCAACTGCTATTTGGGAAATGAGCCCATGCTTCTCTTGTTTCTCCTTGTTCCTCGTCGCTAAGGACATTTCGCCAGGAGAAACATCTGTGACTCTGCGACAGAAATTCCGTACTGATGACGTAAAATCTGTCCAGAATCTGGTCAGGAGATCTGATTGGTTGTCGTAGTAGTTATATTGTTTTACCTATAGTAGTTATATTGACTTCTTAGTACCAGTAGAGTGTCCCTAAAATCAGACCCTTGCTCATTTTATGACTTGCTCCCTTGATATTAATAATAGTAATATAATAATAGTGATAATAATAATATATAAATAAAATTATATATTATTTACATGTTTTCTTTGTATAATTATCAATGATAATAATGATAATTTATTAAATGTAATACATAATGCATTTTGATTATTAGGAAATATTTTGTACTGTTTGTTTAACAGAGGTATCAGTTGAAGGAAGTGAAGATATTTGGTTTATCAACTTTTATTCCCCGTTTTGTTCCCACTGTCATGATTTAGCACCAACGGTAAGAAAAGCAGAGTGATACATTTTCTTGAATTAACAGGTGTTCCTTACTTAAGGTTTTTGTCAGGTTTTCCCATTTTATAATAGTTAAAATAAGGTCAAAAAATAATTATGGTATCTTTCAGAGGCTTTTATTGCTCCCCTTTATTTTTGTACTATATTATTTTGTTCTCTGTTAAATGCCCCCTGCCTTTTTTGACAAACTTGACCTGGTAGACAGTACATTTGAATCTGCAGTTTATATGGGATCACTATTGTTTCGAAACGTTTTTTATTCCCTTTTCTTGATAGCAGTGTTAATTTTACCTTTAAAACTAAAGTTTATTTTACTATTAGTAATTATCTGTGGGCTTATTGATCTTGCTTTATATTGAGTAAAATACGTGACAGTACAGTAGTGCTTTTAACTCCTACCAATTAAAATAAAAATATAAAAAACAGTGAAGCTAACCCTTTGTTGTTTTTATTAATTAAAACTGGTCAGTGGAGAGAAGTTGCTAAGGAGCTTGAAGGAGTGATTAGATTTGGTGCTGTTAATTGCCAAGAAGAATGGAACTTGTGTCGGCGGCAGGGAATACAAAGTTATCCCTCTCTTGTATTCTATCCTACGGTAAGTTTAATAGATTGCATAAAAAGTCTGTGTTGTTGCTCAATGAATGATTTAGAACAATTACAAACTTCATCTCCAAGTAGTAAATGAATGATATAGAAAGGAGGAAACTGTACATTGGGTAAACAATCTTACTGAAAATAAACTATACTATTAAGTATTTTACTTTTGTACTCCAAATACTGTAAAAGGCCACTTATAACAGCCCTGGGCTAATAATATACATCTTCATAAGGGGTTTTAAGAGGCCTTATAAATCAAGGGGCTTTATGTCCAAAAGGCCTTATAACTTGAATAAATAAAGCGCTTTGAAGCAAGCCATGATGTTAAAGGCTTTGCCATTGGTTCATTTCTGGAGCGTATTGTTGTTGAAAGAGCAAATGATGAGCACTGTTAGAAAAACGTTAAAAAGGCTGGTCTGATCAGCGCAAAACCGATCGATTTCTAGCGAAATTTGCCTTGAAAATAACCACAAAATCGGCGGTTTTTTACCGATTGCTTTTCGGTGAAGTTTGCCCCGAAAACCCCCGCGTAATCGGCCAATTTTTCCGCGAATTTGTCCCTAAAAATCCCGCGAAATTTGACTTTTTCTTCCGAGACCTATCAGAAGCCCTGCTAAGAAGACAAACCCGTTTGCATCAGCAGAAGGGTGTACAAATTTCTGTCCCCGTAAAAATGAAAATGTCTCCCAAAAATTTAGCCAAGGGGACAAATTGTCCCCCAGTGATCAAATCCTAGCTCAAACCCTGAGGGGGGCATATGATCGGATATGTTTTTTTGTCTACAGGTAGATAGGCCTATAACAGGGGGTAGGGGGAGCTTATAAGTGGTACCTTATGGTATACTGTGTGCCACAGGAACACAAGAGAAAATTCAGGATTTTTGAAAGTGCCAGAGTGGCTGAAACAAAGTAATTTAGGCTAACCAACTTGCATTAATTGATCAAGCAGAATAATATTTTCCTATGCACACCCCAACAGTTCAAACTGTTATAATTTGAAAATGCCATAATAAAAACTGTAACACTGTAAACTCTAGCAAATAAAAGAAGTGAAAGATCCATAAAGGAACATATACAAAGGTGTATCGTGTCTGAGAAAAAATTCAATGGGATACTGCATTCCCATTGATCAGTGGGGATACAGCATCCCTATGAACTTTTTCATGAGTGCACCAAGAGGCAGAATTAAAATACATATATTGAAAACAAGTGAGATAGAAGGCTCTCAGTATATGCCTTTGTTTTAAAATCTGTTCTAAATATCTGGAAATCAAAGTTAATACAAAAAAGTTGTCCAGCATGATTACAGTTACTTTCTGTCATAATTATATATATTTACATCTGTTTTTGTGAGTGTCAGCTGTTCTAAAGAGGCCACTCAATTTACATGTGTACAGCTGGCAATAATTAAAGCATATTTTGGCATTTTTATACATTTTTTTAATTTACTTTCCCTGAGAGGCTTGCTTCTTAAAATGTCAGCCCTGATAAAGGTGCATTTTTTACTTTTCATTTACTTCTAGCATGAATTTCACCGAGGTTCAAGAAGCACTAGATCACTTGTCAGCTATATACTGGATTCCTTAGAAGTTAATCTCTATCGTTTATCGGAGGGTAAGAACACATTTCAGTATTAGTTTACTCCATCCCCCTACCCACATCACCTACTTAATCAGATATGAGGGTTATCAGAAATAATGGAGAGATTAATAAAGACAAAAATTCATTACTATTTGAGTTAAGCCATTTTTTAACAAAACTGTGCTTTTATCCGTTTTCAGTTTGGTTTTCTGTAACACAGATTGATAGCCAGAGCTAAAAGCAAAGCTCCCGTCACAGTTATAATTTACTTGAACAGTGAACTATTGCAAAGAAATCCACAGATGAGATGTACACTTTTATTTGAAGGAGGGGCTCAATGGACAAGAAACAATCGCTGCTGAAATAATTGAACTTAAATTGAGCCTGCGATCAGTATTAAAAGCTAATAACTGGTCAGTGGCTCAGAAAACTTTGAAGACAAGTGGACCTCAATCAACCTCAATAAGTTGAAACCTGAGCCCATGATATGGTCATGTGATACTGGCTTGGTCAGCAGATAATCATTTTTGACAGCTGTCATTGACCATAACATGGATGTCTATTATCAAGTTAAATGCAGGTTGCAGGCTCTCAAACAAACAAACAAAATAATATCATTTCATATTGGTTATCCTGTGGTGCAGACAGATGGGCGGGCCAATGGGTGTATGGTCACATGACTACCAAAATTTCTTGGATGCATGAATAACCAAATTTTCTTACCCATGGTGTTCTGCTGCTCACTCTTCACGCGTGCAAGAGCTCTGCTTTAAATGCTGCCTGTTTTTAACATTCCCAAGAAGGCACAAAGAGCAGAGTGGAAGCGCTTTTTTTTTTGCTTAAAATAACGCAGTATATACCACTTATTAACCGAGAGTGAGTTCATTACAGAGAAATCTCAGTGTCTGTGACAATTATTACTGTATATACATCATTGTATTATTTATAATCTCCATCATGTAACCCGAAAAATGTACAAGGCAAATGAAACGACATTAAGTATATACATTTTCGTAATTATTACTCCAAAATCTTATTGCAGGCAATTTTGAAAAGCATATAAACAAAGGTGAAGATCCCTGGTTAATTGATTTCTGTGAACCTGGTGGAGGTGAGTCCCATCATTGTCTTTTCATGTAATAGAAAGGTTGTGGCTGGATTTTTTTAAGCACTTGAGTTTGAATATCGGCTTTAGTTGGCAACAAAATATTTGTCTTAGTTAGTAGGAATATTTATTACTAACCTTACATTTTCTGACTTGTGGTCAGATGCTTACTGCATCAAAGTCCGTTAGAACAGTGTGAAAGTTATTACGAGGTCAGGGAGAAGTCAGTGAGGATGTTTCCGGAGCTATTCTGACCCCTCCCTCTCCCCCTCCCCCTCCCCCTCCAAAGAAGGCAACTTTGCTGGGGGGTGGGTGAGTGGGCACAATTTCATAGCTTGTTTGACCTGACTTGAATTTGCTGCATTTACCAAAATAATTAAAACTGGTCTTTTGACATTTTTATTATGTTACTGATTATTGCTTTTTCATATCAGGCTTGAATTATCATCTAGAACTTTAAAATATATGTTGTGGTTAATTTTTTATGTCAGTTAATTTTTACTTTTCCATCGTTTTTGGGTATGATAATGTATGCTAACGAATTTGAAACAAAGGAAAAATAGAAATTAACTGTGATAAAAAATTAACTGCAACACATACATATCATATAGTCCAACTCAGTCATGTCCATTATTTATCTTACAGATTGTCTCACTTCAGATACTAAAATCAAACTGGCTGCAATTTTGGTGAGGTTGATAGTTATATTTCCATCTTTATCTCGGCATAGCCATGATATTTGAATCACTGCCATGGCAGAGTCCTTGTTGTTCAACTTGATTGACCTGCCGAATCAAATTCAAAAATTGATTGAGGTGTCGTGCTTGTGCTAAGCTTTTGTTGAACGTAATTCAAGAATAAGTTTGGCAGGCAGGGCAGAAGCACATTCAATGACTGTATGAACTGGCCATAAGTGGCTTTTCTGCCAACAACCTTTGTAGTTAAAGAGCAATGACCCATGAAATGTTTTGTTGTTGGAGTCCAACTTGTTGTTGTTTAACCCTTTAAGTCCCAATGGTGACCAACATCAATTTTCTCCCAACAATATCCATAGGTTGTCAAAAGAAAAGGTTATGAGAATTAGTAAAATGATCATCAAAGCGAAAATGCTTTGATCTTTTATCAATTTCTCCCAACTAATTCTGTAAGGAAATGTATAGAGATCAGTTTGGAGAATTTGTTTGTGGATATTGGGGCTTAAAGGGTTAACTTGTAATCTTTGCTATTATCCTACGACATGCTAAGCTCACAACTTTATGGCTGAGGAGAAGAAGAGGTAGTTGTATTAAAAGAGGTTGCTGTTGTAACGACAGAGATTTTTACCATTTGACTTTTTTTTAGGATAACTTAGTCAATATTGGTAGTATTGATTGCGGTGCAAGTAAAAGATTATGCAAAGAAGTTGGTTACAGCGATGATCTGGTTTACTTCAAGGATGAAGTTGGACCCAAAAAAGGAGAGGTGGGACCTGAGCCTTGTTGTAAAATCTTTTGTTTTACAAAAACAATGCTTTTCTAACTTGTGTTCATTATATAAAACCCTTTCAGGTTTTGAGCATTCAGTTTGTTAGTTACAAACTTTCTTTTACTTTTACTGTGGTGCCGTATGGGGTAATATCAATAAGGGACTAGCAGACAAACTTCAAAAGCTGCAGAATAGGGCTGCTAGAATTCTCACCTTTTCTAACTATGACGTTCGCTCAAGTGTTTTGTTGGATGAGCTTGGCTGGGAAAGGCTAGAATATGTAAGACTTAAACAGTTGGCTGTGACAATGTATAAGATCCATAATAATCTTTCCCCATCGTATCTGAGGCGGATCTTTACCAGCACCTCAAATGTACATTCACACAATCTTAGAAATTCTGAGTTAAATTATTATGTCCCCAGACCCAGAACTGAGTCTGCAAAAGGGAGCCTACACTACAGAGGATCTGTTCTGTGGAACAAGATTCCCTCAGAGATTAGAAAACTGCCTAGTTTAAATTTTTTTAAAACTTCAATTCATGGGAAAGATTTTTCTAATACACCATGACCCATTGTAACTCTTATTATTCATAATGTAAGTTTTTGTATTTTTAACATTATAGTCAATAGTTCCTTAGAGTATTTTAGTCTAGTTTTAAACACGATTCCTAGGAAGACCATGTAAAATGATACGATTTCGTGTATAAATAAAGATTGATGATGATGATATTTTAGCCTGCGTAGCTGGCGTTTTGTTGGTGCGAATTTTGTTTTTGGTTGGTATTTATACGGCCGCGCGTGAGGTCAAAAGAGTAATCGATAGGGGGAGATGGCGAGGGGTAGAGAGAGAGTTTTTCCCACTACCCTCCTCCCCTCCCCTTCCCCATCATTTTCTGGTTCAACCTCGGTTCTGGCTTTCGCACAGCTGTATCTCTTACTTTACGAACCACAAAAGAAGAAGCACCAACACCAAAAAACCACCAAGATGGTTGTTGGAAAGGTACGGCTGGATAAATCTCTACCTAGTGGATAACGCAATTGGTTTTCCTCATAGTTATCCACTGGATAGCGATTTATCCGGTGGATAGCGCTATCCAATGTTTAAACAACCGGAGCCAGCTCTGCAGGCGATCTACAATATATCAAAAACTCAGATAGGCTTGATGTTGTCGTCAAATTGAGTGTTGTAAGGTAAATCGGTATTTAAAAAGAAATGTCAAGGAGCAAGTATTTTCTTTCTCCCTCTTTCGTTTTGCCTTTTCCAACAGATTATTGACAGTTTAGAAACCAAAGAGATTGTGAGTTTTGCACTGAAGAAACTGCCAGATCCAGTAAATGTGGATTTTCAAACATTTGAGGTAATTATTGAAAAAAGCTCATTTCCGAGGTACATAAACCCTTTCAAAACGAGGTAAAGTGCAAGCCCTTCCATGTGGCAAAACATTGTAAGTTTTATTTGATTGAGAAAGAAAATTATTTTTATGACAAACTTACCCTCATTTAGAAAGAGAGAATTGGGGTACCGGTAATTCAGGGATGGCCAATTAACACTTAGCCTGCGTCACAGACGAAACTAAACTCTGGTTAAGTCCGTTCGCGAAACAGCCCGGAAATCCTTGCTCTGGGTCCCCACCTGTGTACCAGGATTTGAGTACGCGCCATGATTGGCCAGTTAAAAAGGCCATTGTTGATTTGCCAATCAGGTTGAAAGGAAATTCGAAACACACTTCCGGTAATTTGTTGAGTCCGTCAGGGGCCCAAAACAAGGATATTGGCGCTGCTTCGAAAACGTTACTAACCAGGGTTAAATGACGTCTGCCCCAATATCCAAATAAAAATTCTCCAGACTGATCGGTATACATTTCTTAAAGAATTTGTTGAGAGAATTTGATGAAAGATCAAAGCGATTTCCCTTTGGTGATCATTATAATAATTCTCATTGCCTTTCCTTTTAACTATGCGTAGATATTGTTAGGAGAAAATTGATATTGGTCTCTCTTCCAAGGGACCTAAAGGATTAAGCCTCAATATCCAAATACACATTCTCCAGAGTGATCTTCATACATTTCTTAAAGAATTTGTTCGGAGGAAATTGATATTGGTCACTCTTCCAAGGGACCTAAAGGGTTAAGCCTAAATATCCAAATACACATTCTCTAGAGTGATCTTCATACAATTCTTAAAGAATTACGGGACAATTTGATAAAAGATCCAAGCGATTCCCTTTGGAGATCATTTTATTTATTCTCATTTCCTTTTTCGTGATGATTCATGAAAGCCCTAGCATGATAATTCTTTTCTGTAACACTGCATGTACACGTTTTACGTGGCATAACTCCCGTAAGCGAGCACCCAAAATGTGAAGAAGTGGTCGCTTACAAGAGGTGGTCTCTTACGAGAGAGAAACTGCAGAAGGTCCTTTAAGGGGAGAAATCCGGACACGTCTACTTTTTGCCGAGATTGTATTGCATGTAATGTTTAGGTTGCAATGTATGTAAACCAATGCAGTTTCTAACGGTTCTTGTCATACTATAAGTAGCATTGTACATACAGCAAACGTAAAGATCAGACCATTGAATCAGATGCAAGACGTTAAAAACAGTGGAAAACTCTAAAACCGTCAACCTAAAGTGGTCGCAGGGTTTCTTACGAGGGGCAGTCATTCATGAGAGGTTGAAACTATATGGCTTTGACTGGGAAAATTTCGGTGTTTTTGCTAAGTGGTCGCTTATGGGAGGTGGTCGCACATGAAGTTTCGACTGTAGTAATTGGTGTTATTAATGAGTGTATTTTTTGCCTAACAGGACATGAAGACAAAACTTTCCTCCGCCACAGAAATGCCATGGGTCTTACATTTTGATAGGGGACCCATGGACAACTTAGAAATCAGAAAACTTCCTGCATTCACTTCAGATATTAATGTAAGTTTTATGAGTTCCAGTTGCATCTGTAAACTATTTAGAATATAGCATCATACGTGTAATCAGTGGGGTGCAGTTAGTGGAAGGCCTGGGCAGGTTGATGCCGTCAAGGCCATACACGATAAAACGCGCGACATGTGCAGATTTTGTTCCAAAGTAGAACTTCTCTCTACTTTCTGGAAAACCTTTTCGCAGCTTTCAACAACTTGATCTGTTGCGGGACAGGTTTGTTTTCGTGGGTGCAAAAACGCGCTATTCAACTCGCTTTGCAGCAATGTCGCAAAACAAGTTGCACGTTTTTGTTGTGGGGTGAGATTTTTAATTGGGTGAAAATAATGGTTTGTTTTTTCCTTTGGCCGTTTTTGTAGGTTGGTCATGTTGATTGTAGTAAAGAAACAGAGATATGCCAGCAGGTTCACGTCAGAAAATATCCAATGGTGGCTCTGTTTAAAACACGTGGTCACTATGAGTGGCATCACGGTATGTATAGCCCTGTAATTGGGGCGGAGCGTGGGGTGGGGGCGTATAAGTGGTAGTTAAAGGTAGATGCTTTTGATAATAAGATCAATTTTTCTTTATTGAACAGGCCGCTTCACTGCCCACGACATTGCTGTGTTTGCGAAGGAAAGTGCATCCTCCAGCGTCCGGACTCTAGGGCCTGACGATTTCCCTGCACAAATTTCCCAGCCTGAACGTCCGTTCTTCGTGGATTTTTTTGCTCCAGTAAGAACATCATGCTATGTCCCTTGTCGTACCACCGAGAAACTGCCATTTAAATTTAACGCCTTAGATCAGTTACTTGGGAGTCTGATGGTAACCGGTCGTTTCGATACAAAGTCAAGCAGTGAAATTGCGCAAAAATCTCGATCACTTCATGTATAGCTCGCTGTGAACAAGAAAACATTTTGGGTGAATATTCTTCGTTCTTTAAGCCAAGTACGAGAAACAATTTACAAGTCGACTGAATAAACTTGTATCGAAACGACCGTTAACCAGTCAGATAGGCATCACTTCGTTTTGCCTCGAACTTTAAAGGGAATTCGTCACTTTAGAAACGAGAAGAAACTCGGCCGAGTTAACTTTCGCAAAGGCTTCTGGGACTGTCACTAGGGACAGGGAAAAAAAATTGGCCAATAGCTGACCGGCTGACCCAAAATGACGTTAAAAGTTCAAAATGGTGGTGCGCGGGAAATTGAAACAAGGGAAAGTTGTCATTTGATTTTATTCGACAAAATCAAAATTTTATTTTCACTTGTCAGAAAATAATTTTTGCTTTTCCGAGAGGAAGGCCAATAGCCATTTGCATGATGACGTCATTTTACTACTATGGCTAGAATCCTTCAGGGTTTTGCTTTCTTGTGCAAATTAGCGGTTTTTGTTTTATGAAACCTCTCTGGGGTTACCAAATTAAAATATTAAAGGAAAAACGTAAGGCATTCTGTTCGTAGCAGTAAAATGACGTCATCGTGAAAATGGCCTATCTGCCACAACGGTAAAGGTTTCCTTCAACAATTCTCACGGTCGTTGATTCAAGTAATTTAATTTTTACATCTTTCAGTGGTGTCCGCCTTGTATGCGTTTATTACCTGAATACAGAAAAGCTGCCCGTTCATTTGAAGACGGCGAAGTTGGCTTTGGTACGGTAGACTGTACAGTGCACCCTAATTTATGTCATATGGTAAGATGCACTTTAGTAGATTATTCAGTATATTCATAATTTATTCATGTAGCATTAATTATTGCTAACATCAGGAGCACGGTTTATTTCATATTAGGCTGATTTAGCAACAGAGCGAGAACGTCAGTTGACAACGGCGCGCGCAAATCAAACAACTGGCTTGACCGATGGCAGAGCGGCAAATTGGGCATTGGAAGTCGAGTTTAGTCCTTTCCGCGCGCTTTCCCGTCGTCAAATGACGTTCCCATTCTGTTGCTAAATCAGCTTATTAGGTATTTTGAGAACGGACCTCTGCAGCCAGGGTAAGAGGAGGGGGAAACAGCCTTGGATATCGTAAATGCAGAGAAAGAAAAAAGGCTTCTCTTTCCTCCTCCTCTATCCCTTTTACATTTTCTCTTTTTTCCCTTCCTCTGGAGAGAGACTGGTCGTCAAAACGGACAGCAAAACAATCGACTTTTCTTCCCAAAATTTCATCTCTCTGGACAAATTAATCTTAAACATCTCCAGTCTTTCAAAGAGTAAGAATTTCAAACAGTCCTAGAAGAATAATGTCTAGTATGTTTTAAAGATTTGCCAGAAAAAAAGTAATTCTAGAAAAAATGTGTAAAACCGATGACATAATCGCCTGCGTGGCAGGCGTTCGAAAGGAAAGGGGAAGGGAGTTTGGGTGCGAGACCGCGCGCGAGGGAGAAGGGAGCGGGGAAGGCGTTCCCTCCCTTCTTCCTCGCGCGCCCCTCGCGCTTCTTTCGCCCCCTCAATCTGCTTTTTCTTCCCTTTCGGACGCTTGCCACGCGCGCAGGCTAATCACATAAAGAAGTCATTTACATAAGCGTTCTCATTACTCCTTCCCGATGCATTCGGCGTGCGATTTTTTCGACGTCGAATGACACCGCGTTTTAGATCCATGAACTTGTTATTTCTTGTGCGGGATTAACTGAGTTGTTTTTCATCTGCTGCTGGAAAGGAAGCAGACAATTAATGAGCAAACACTTGCGTCACTCGAAAATTGTTTAAGGTTTCTGATAATTTTTGGCATTAAATACATTTTGTTACTTCCCCTCGTTCGCAGTTGAAACAGGGCACTTGTCATGCTGCTTCCTTTGCAACAAAACAAAAGAGATTCATCAGCTTCTTGACGCTTTATTTTTCAGTATAATATTCGCTCATATCCAACAACAATCCTCTATAACAACAGCATTCCTCATCAATTTACTGGTCACCATACTGCCGCTGATTTAGTGGAATTTGTTGAGGTAAGCAAGTCATCTGGTTCATTAAACAGGGCTCGCACAGTCTTGAAAAGTCCTTGAATTTTAGAGGAAGTCCTTGAAAAGTCCTTGAATTCCATTTTTCCTTGAAAAGTCCGTAGATTTCTGTGCAAGTCCTTGAATACTCCTTGAATTTTCTTCAACTTTGAATGTAGTGGCCTGGAAAGAGTTTTTTGATGCTTTTTGGTTGTCCAAGACAGAATATATATCATAGCGCAGAGAATTTAAAGGTTATTTAAATAAAGTGCTATAAATTTTATGCAGTAATTGACTATCAATGTAAGACCAATAAACTGAAACATGTAGAGAAGTTGGTGAAGCAAACAGTTCAAGCCTTAAAGCCTTATTAGAATAGACTGGGAATGCATTTTTGTACAATCTGTGAAGTCATATTCCTAGTAGGTGGTCCTTGAAAATCTAATGTGGTCCTTGAAAAGTCCTTGAAAAATGGTTGCAATTCTTTTATGAACCCTGTTGACCCTTTAAGCCCCAATATCCTCATACAAATTCTCCAAACTGGTCTCTACATCACCTGATTTCCTTAGTTAAGAGAATTTGATAAAAGATTGAAGCATTTGCCCTTAGGTGATCATTTTATTTATTCTCATAAACTTTTCTGTTAATTATGTATTGATGATGTCAAGAGAAAATTGATGTTGGTCACTATTGGGACTTAAAGGGTTACAGATTGCAAAACAGTCGGTTTTTTTTTCTCAAAATCAGTAAAGAAATAGGTAAAGCGTGGCGTAATTGTCTTACCCGCGCGAGGCGCGCGAGGCGCGCGAGCCTCACTTTCAGCGTCGTTCCAGACCTTTTGTTTGACTTCTCGCGCATACTTGAATAAGCAAAAATACGGACTGTTTTGCAGTCTAAAAGGGTAAAGGCCTTGGCCAAACGTCGAACTTTTCATAACACAAACCAGACTTAGTGAGTCAATCTCATGAAAAGTTCGACTTCTGGCTCAGTTAAGTTCGTCTGAATGAGTTTAAATCGTCTGATGTCGGATAAGCATTTTAATACAGCAACATTAAATCCTCTTTTTTGTTTTAGAATACACTGAAGCCCGCCGTGGTTCAGTTAACACCAGAAACATTTCAATCTCTTGTTGCGGAGAGAAGGCAAGGTGAAACCTGGCTGGTTGATTTTTATGCTCCTTGGTGTGGGCCGTGTAATGAGCTCGCTCCTGATTGGAATAAACTTGCCAAGGTATAGTAAGAACATTACAGATTTGTGTACACACAGTCGTTGACGTGTGTGTTTTAAGAAATCTTATTGGTTCGTTATGTTAGGATATTGAGCACTACAACTTGATTGGCTCAACGGAGCAGGGTTATCAGGTTATAATCCGGCTGTTTTCTGACAATAAATGATAAATGAACTTGTCTCAGAGTAAGGTTGAAACTTATACAGTAGCAGCAAAATCTGAAGTAAGAGTGTGGCGCTTGTAAATATTTAAGACAGTCGTGTGAAAAAGAACATTATCCTAAAGCGCTTTATGTTGGCGTTTGTAAAAACGTTTCGGATGCTACCGCCTCTTCGTTCAAGTGGGTGAAGTCCAACAAAGCCTACACAAGCACGCCTAAAGGCTAATTTCAAAGGGCTTGAAGTGATTTTCATTTTCACACTGTAAAATATCTAAAGTACCCTGTGTGTACAAACAGTTGTTTGAATGTCAGAACATTATCCGGAGATTAGAGTTGAAGAAGTGAAACAGTGTGCATTTCATTTCTCAGCAAATGCAAGAAGAGGCTGGTGTTGGATCAGTAGACTGTCAAAAGTACCGATCGTTCTGTCAAGAGCAAGGAGTGAATTCTTATCCGACCATACGGTTGTACCCCCACAACAGTCAGGGAGCTCGTCGCTTTGTGTAAGTATTAAAAAGAGATAGAGCGATTTTAGTATGACCTTGAAAAATGGTTTCAGTAAGTGTTCGTTGTTTGTTTTATCAGCCAATGGATGAAAACATCAAAACATGGACTTTTCGTTTCCCCCCCAAAGAAAACCCTAATATGGAGAAGGCATTGTTCGATTGGCCAATCGTGTTGCAGTATGACGTCAAAGCGAAGGGTCGGTTGATTTCTAGAAAGTTCTCGGCCATGAAGTTTTTCAGCTGAGCGTTCGCCTAACCAAACAAAAGCTACGCGCCTTTGTATCCGTTCGATAAACCAATCAAATCGCTCTATTTCCTTTCGTTTTCATTTCAAGGTCATACTAAAATCGCTCTATCAAGACGAAATTCGCTTTGGGCATTCTTGACTCTCTTGAGGAGGATTGTACATGTATTGTTAGAGCGGTACGACAAGCTCTCTTACTCGCGCCATGCTTCTCTGTGCCCTTTTTATCTGCGCGGAGCCTGGTGCTACTTGTAAATTATGTTTAGAAACAGGCAAAAGTTTTCGCCGCTCCGAACTTAATATTCTTGTGTCGTTGTCGTTCGTGTTTTTGTTTTTCTGGAAATAGCAGTTGCTCCTCTCTCCTATGCAGAGGCTCCCGCTAGGTTTCCCAGTGAAAATAGCATTAAGCGCGCGGGGGACTATGGGAAGACGCTTTCTCTCTTTCCCTTCCCATCGTTTCCCGCGCGCTTTCTTTTCTCCCTCTCCCCAATCTCCCTGCGTCAAAAAAAGGCCTCTGCGGAGGAGAGAAGTGGTTGCTCATAGCGATTTTTTGTCGGAAAAAAATGAAAATTTACGTGTGCAGTCGACTCTCTCTTAACGGACATCTCTATTAGAGGGACACCTCGGTAAAACGGACACCTAGAGTTTGTCCCTGTCTTTCTTGACTACCGATATTTGGTTCTCTATACGACGGTCATCCTGTTCGCTTCCAAAGGTGTCCGTCTTAGCGAGAGAGTTGACTGTATATACAAACTTATCTAACATAATTTTATTGTCCTACTGTCTATAAAATCAACCGATTGTTTTTCGCTTTTGTGGCTCCATTTTTTTAGAAACTACCGTGGATGGCGTGACGTGGATTCTCTATACAGCTGGGCGTTTCAGCACCTGCCTTCGTTAGTCACGCAGCTCAATCACTATTCGTTCCATGAGGCTGTTGTTGGCAGTGAAGATGCGTGGATTATCGATTTTTACGCTCCGTGGTGCGGGCATTGTATTCAGTTTGCTCCTGATTTCGAGAAAGTAGCAAAGGTGAGTGCCAATCGGTATGTGTATCAGGGGCGTAGCTTTAGATTTTGAAGGTGTACGTGCTGGAAGAAAAGTTAGAGCGCCAAAGGCGCTCCAAGGAAGGGGGGTGTCTATGGGTATGCTCCCCAAGAAAAGTTTTAAATTTGTACATTTTTTCGTTTTTCACCCCACTATAACGTTTCGTGCTGTCTTGCTGTCAGAACAAGGGAGAGAACCATCAACAAACTCAACACCCACATATGTCGTCGACGCGGAGATTTGAACCCGGGTCACATTGGTGGGAGGCGAGTGCTCTCACCACTGCGCCATCGTTGCCCTCCAAGGGGAAAATAGCGGTTGCTCCTCTCTCCTCTGCACAGGCTCCCGCTTGGTATCCCTGTAAAAATAGCAATAAGCGCGCGGGGGACTATGGGAAGACTCTTCCCCTTCCCATCGTCCCCCGCGCGCTCACATTTTTCCCTCTCCCCAGCCCCCCTGCGGCACAAAGAGGCCTCTGTGGAGGTGTCAGTTAGCACTTTTTGAATTTTGATAAATTTCGTCAGTGGCACAGCTCCTTTAACCAGTGTGTTAATATTGTTGTAGTTATTAGATGGACGTATCAAGGCGGGTAAAGTAGACTGTGAGCAGGATTACCATCTGTGTTCTGAGGCCGGTGTACGTGCTTATCCTACTGTCAAATTATACCTTGGTGCGCCAGGAGAAGGAATGACACAGGTGAGATTAGCATAGCAATTCTCTTTGGAAATACGGTCAAGCCTGCATTAAGCGGTCACCCTTGGGGAATGGCCAACTGACTGCTTAACCCTTTAAGATCCACAAACAAATTCTCCAAACTGGTCTCTATACATTTCTATAAAGAGTAAGTTGAGAGAATTTGATAACAGAGCAAAGCATTTTCCCTCATTCTCTTGATTGTGTATTGATCATGTTAAGAGAAAATTGATGTTGATCACTCTCGGCACTTAAAGGGTTAATACAGTTTGACCGTTTTCTGAGCACTTCAAAGCTTAGGTTGATACTTTCACTGTTGAAAGTTCACTAAAAGAGTTCGAAGTGTTTAAGTTGGTGTTACTGTCGACGCCATTTTCCAGCGTGATTTAACCCGGACGCGAAGCATTTTCAATGAAAAGCAACTCACTATTTTTCAATCAAATGAACAGATAGTTTCTTTAACGAAATTTATATATCGTTGCCCATGTTTTCACTTACTGGTGAATGAAATCCCTGCAAAAACAAACACAAATTACCGTATTTATTCGATTAAATGCCGCGGCTTTTATCAAATTTTCAACGTTTCCGATGCAGCGTTTATATAAGGGTGGCGTTTATTCGAGGGCGGCGTTTGTTTCGGAATCACTTTTCTTAAATCACTGACAACTGTTACTGTAAATTGTTTTTTAACTATTATGTACTTTAAAGGTTCCAATGTCTCTCTTATTTTGCTGAGATAGAATCGTAATTGTCTGGGTGGTGTAGATTACCAAGTTGTACTGAGGTTTTTCTCTATTTCACACTCATGTATGGGGGCATCATTACTCATTCCGATTATGCCGATTATTTTTTTTTGCCCATGCGGAATTTTTTTCTCCTTTTTCCCCTACTGCGGAGCCTGGTCCCAGGCTTATTTACTCTTGACAACACTGGTTTTGGAGACCTCCCCGGAAACCATCTTCCAATTAATTCAAGCGTTCAATTGGTCTAAAAATAACTTTGGTGAAATTAACATACCCCAAGGGCTAGAATGGGCGTTTCACTCTCTCTCCTATTATTCTCTCCTCGTTTAAGTAAAGTACTTTCCCCCTTTTCTTGCAGCCAGTGAACGGACACTTGGAGGTAGAGACGCAGAATCCGCAGGAAATCAAGAACATTGCGCTTCGGTCGTTAGAAGAGTACAGAACAGAATTAGAAGAAGAGCAACACGAGGAGACGCGAAGAAAAGAGACAAAAGCGAAAGGAAAAGGAAAAAAGGTAACGAGCACACAGTTGTTGATGCATGGCGCGTCGCGAACTTATAGTTCTCTTTTTCTGATCATGATATAAACGCTCGCTTGTCGCGAACTTACAGTTCTCTTTTTCTCATGTAAACGCTCCCGTGCGTTGCAAATTTTACAGTTTTTGTAAACGAAAATTCCGCCATTTCCGAGAACCAACCGATAAGATGCAAGACAAAAACAGACGGTCGTCTTTCGAATGAAGATGGGCCTCAAACGGTTATATGCGAATTTTTCTTGACAAATATTTGCTCACCAGCATACGCGCCTCGAAATTTGCCATTTGGCCACATAGACTTTTGCACGTCTGTTGGCTTATATTCTGGAAGTGTACAAAGTACCTTTTGTATGAAAGTCGTTTGACAATGAAACACCATTTATAGTGTATGTCGTTTTCCCAGCGAAAGATGATTTATTATTCGTTCAAATCCCGTGGCTCATTCTTCATAACCAGCAAGCGTTTACCAAATTTGAAAGAAGTTTGCGATATGTGGAAAATGACGTCATACACCAGTATAAATGCCAGAAAAATGGACGGCAACCGAGAAGCCCTGGAGACGAGATTGCGTTGATTTGGTTGAACGATACTAAATGGCTGAACATTTCACACGTTTCGCCAAGAAGAAATGGCCGAAGTACTGCCTTAAAACATAGCAAGAACAGAAAGAATACAACTCTCTTCGGAGAATATCTGCAGAACTATACATCCCTGTATCTCCTGAACTTGCCCAGAAACAGACAAATGAAGGTGGAAACATCGACCAAGATAATCAGTAAATACAACATGAACCATCATCAGTAATTGCTGACTTCATCAGTAAACACAACATGAACCATCATTTTAATGCTGATGATAGCCAAATTTATTTGTCTTTCAAGCCGAGTGCTGCTGGCGAACCGAGTACATCCAAACTGCGCATTGAGTTTCAGCCAATAAGTTGATGCTCAATCACGACAAAACTGAGCTCCTTGTTTTGCACGCCCGTCATCGACCACAACGCCCCGCTAGAATCTATTCTTGTTTGCTCAGATGTGATCTACTCATCGAACTCAGCAAAGAACATCGGTGCGTGGTTCGACACTGTCATGTCTATGGAGAAACAAATAAACAGCATATGTCAGTCTGCCTTCTACCACCTGCGCAACATGGCTCAAATCAGTAAACATATCTCTGTCCGTCATTGTGAAACTTTGATCCACGCATTCGTAACATCCAAGATTGACCACTATAATATACTACTCTCAGGTCTTAAGCAGGATCAAGTCCGAAAACTCCAGTATGTCCAGAATTCAGCAGCCCGACTTCTAATAGGCACACGTAAACACGAGCATGTTACACCTGTGCTAAGAGATCTACTTTGGTTACCCGTTCATGAGCGTATTCGTTTTAAAATTTTACTAATGACTTTTAAATGCCTTAATCAACTAGCGCCACCCTACCTAAGTGACCTCTTAATTCACTATAGACCATCAAGGACATTACGTTCGTCTGATAAAGAACTAGTGGTACAGCCCCGCTGCCATCTTAAAACATATGGGGAGCGAGCTTTCTCCTTTATTGCCCCAAAACTATGGAATACCCTCCCATTTAGTATAAAACGTTGCAACTCAGCAGAATCTTTTAAATCCACTCTTAAGACGTATCACCTTTTTAGAAATTACTTTGAATTGTAAGAATCATTAATTATTATGTTTTTTCAGGCTTTTTTTTGTTACGTAGTTGTCTTTATCATTCACTGTTGTAAAGCGCTGTTGGTTCAGTAGAGAAACAGTGCTACATAAGATTATTATTATTTTTTTTTTTTCAAAAGTAGGTTAAGTTTGATCGTCCGGGTGAATAGGACTGTTGTTGTTGACAGTGACTCGGACGTTTCGACAACTTGTGCGGTAGTCATCTTCAGAGTCAAATTTTGACTCTGAAGATGACTACCGCACAGGTTGTCGAAACGTCAGTCAGTGTCAACAACAACAGTCCTATTCAGGACTACGTTCACCCAGACGATCAAACTCAACCTACTTTTGAAATGACTCCTGGGTTCAAACCTTTCACAGTATTATTATTATTATTATTGTTATAAATATGTTTTAGCTAAATTTAAAACAACAGCAACAATTATTGTATTCGGCGTTCTTATTATCTGAAGAATTATGGAGAAGTCGGAGGTAGCTTGCTTAGCAGGCGCTTGGAAGTAGTGGGCGCAAGAAAGAACGGGCGCCCAAGAGGGAGACACGCGAGTGCTCCCTCTCGCCTCGCGTGTGTCTTCTTCTCGCGCGCCCGTTCTTTCTTGCGCCCACTACTTCCAAGCGCCTGCTACGCAGGCTAACTCGGAGGGTGTTATCCGCCGAGGGGGAATGACACCCTCCTTGATCTCCATGATTCTTCAGATCATAGTCAGTCTCATCCAATAGTGTTACTGTTTTTGAGGACTTGTGTTCTTTTAGTACGTAACACTTTTTTTTCTTTTTTTAAAATTTTTTATTAGAAGAGCAAACCAGTTCACGATGAATTTTAGAACACTACAAAACCACCTCCCCTCACGCAGCGAGTCTCACTCGGAAGCGTTCAGTGAGGGCCAACATGGATCTTACATTGGCCGAAGGAAAACTATATTGGCCAGCGATTTGCCAACCGAACAATTACGTGGAGTGGGGCGTCTAGCGCAGATTATTGCCAAACAGGCTTCAGTCTTACTCTTAATATACACGCAATACACGGTATTTTGTAGAAAATTTAAATAAATTTTAGCTCCCTTTTTATCTGAGTACGCTTTTTTGAAGTGCAACCTGCAAACTAGTCAGTAAAATCTTTTTCCTCTATTTTGCGGAAAATGTACCCAGGCGTTTGTATAGAATTAACTCCATTAACCCAGGGTGCGCCATTATCATAGAATTAAGTCTATTTACCCAGGGTTTGCCAATATAGAATTAACGCTATTAAATTTAGCCGATCTCATTATAGTTATATTTTTCACAACCGCGACTATTAAGTTGCGTGACGTAGTATAGTACAAGTTTGTTTTTTGTATGTTGACGAGTAATTTCTGATCTTTCGCTGAACGGGGCATCGAAAGTGTCGATATCATTGGGGTGTCCGTATTAACCGAGACACGTTATTTAAGGCGAAAATAGACTTATTGTTGTACAGAATACCAAAGAAATATTAAACAGGACTTTCTTCCTCAATTTAAACATCTCTAAGATTCACAAAGTCGTCATTTAGCAGACTATATCCATGCTGGACTGTAGCGTCCAAATAAGCACATACGCCCTTGCGTTCAATTGAAATCTGGAGAAAATATTTTTCATTTCCTAAAAGCATTTTTATTATAAAATAGGGATGGCTGATAACTTTTCTGCATTAGCTGGTGTCTTTTTGTCAGTATTTCATGTATCCTTTTATTAGTAAAATCCAACTAGTGCTCTATTATCAATGCTGCGTTCTGATTGGTTGAGCTACTACTAGGCTATATTTTATAGCCCACTAGTAGCGAAAAGCGCGGGCTTTGAAAACCAAAACAATGGCAACTGAATCGCGTTTTGCTTACTAAAGTTGTTTTGTCTCGATATTTTTGATCAACTAGTCGGATTTTACTAAAACAATTATTCCTCTCGCGCCCTCATGGCTTCTGAGTCAATAGCCGATGCTATTGAGTCAGAGCCCATTCGGGCTCAGGAATAATTGTTAATTATTTCGTAACCGCGGACGGCAAAAAACGTTATAGTGGGACGAAAAAATAAATTTCCCCTTCTCTGCCCCCTCACAGTGTCACCCTCCCCTCCCCTCACCAGTCCGTTTCCTTACACTGTATGCTACCTATAACACTGGTTATGGGTAAACTAAACAACCAACTACTGAACCTTGAAGTACCTGTGAGTCTACTCGGTACTTAAAAGAACACACTGAATGAATGATTTACGAAGTACTTTCTTCTATTATCTGCATCGTTTTCCTCTACTAGCTGCTGTTTCTCCTCTGGGATAATTTGAAACTCGTTGCTTTTTAGCTTGTTGAGGCTTCTTGTTTGTGTTGTTGTGTTCATTCAGTATTCTTCTGTCACGCATGTATCACGATCAGGACTGCAGCGCTGGGAACATCGACTTGCTGTCAGCTAACCTGAGATCAGGCTCAATTTTCGTTTCACTTTGTAAATAGCATTCCGGCAGGTAAGGCGAAACGAAAAGAGTCAGGCCCAGCTTTTAGCGAAAGGGCGGATCCAGGATTTTTCTAAGGAGTGGGTGCACTCGTCTCTTGTTTTACTTCAAAACCAATAAACCACATAGTTTTTTTAACTTTTTTGCAGAATACCAGTTGTATTAGAAAACTGCAGGTCATCTCAGAAAGGGGGGGGGGGAGGTGCGCACCCGCTGCACCCTCCCTCTAGATCTGCCCCTGTAGCGGTAGCCGTTAGAGAGAATGTATGAGAACCGCTAAAATTGTAGACGGCGAGCAGTCCCTCGGGATGGTCACGCGAGCGAGGAAATCGAGCATATTCGCTCTCTCCAGTCCTGCAGAGCTTACACTCGACTGACTGAAGAGGGACCGCTCGCAGTCTACTAAAATTGGGCCTGATCTCAGGTTAGCTGTCAGCTGAATGCTCTTTCTTACCATAGTTGATGGAGTGGAATGGGTTTCCTCGAATAACCATGTTTTTACCTTCCAATTAGGAAAGTTTCATTATAGCACACAGCTGACAATGAAGTGTGCGAATTAGCGATGTTGCCTTTCTATCAGAATTTGTTAATTGGGCAAGAAACAAGTGTCCGTTGTCGCATTAACATGTATCGGTAATAACTGGTATTAAGCGGGTTGAATTTACAGAAAATATAAGGGCTTTCCCCAGGGACTTCTGGGTTTTTCTTTAAGACCTTTTTAAGTGTGACATGGTATGGAAATCACGGATGATATTATGAGAGCCTCCTTCTGATTTGGTATAGTTATAACAGAACACTGGACGATGCTGTATGTTCTCTGACTTATTTACTGAAATTGTCATCTAAAGTCTTTTGATAAGAAGCTTGACCGAACGGTTAAAACCACTTCTAAGTCTGCGATTAATTTCGTATGGAATTTTGGCGAAGTTTAAACAATATTGTCCTCGGTACTCGGCCATTCATTGAAGTATATTGGACACAATTTAGAAGGTACGACGCTTTTGAGCGACGCACGCCAACCAAAAGTGAACTTTTTACACTCCTCGGCCGTGATTTTGAACAAATTCTTGGGCAAATCGTCTCCAAAAGAGTAAAGACACTTAGCAATACGCATATTTAAAGAGCAAAATTCTCACTTCCGGTTGTCGAGCGCTGTCGCTCAAAAACTCTGTTTAAATATATACTCCCTATTAGCATATTAGACAAAAAGATGGCATCGTGTCTGCATTAATAAGGTTTCGCTTATGTTCTGCCGTTAGTTCATGAACCTTTCAAGACAGCATTTATGCTTGCAATCGGATCAGTTGAGACCCCGGTTCTTTTTTTCAAATGCCGTCGTTATCGGTATACGTTTCTCCTGTTAGTTTTAACGGTTCTGGTAGGCTTTTACTTAAGAATAAACCTACGAAACTATGGTCTGTACACCGGGAACCACCCTTTCTTTGTCGCTCAGTCTTGCGTAAACATGACGGAGACAGAAAGGGTCCAACTCTTAAACATGGCGTATGCTGTGCATATAATCTTGGACGACCTTGATGTAGAACACTGGTTAATGTACGGCTCTGTGTTTGGAGCTCTCCGCGCGAAAGGGCCTTTACCGTGGGACGACGACGTCGATATTGGAATCAATGGATCAGGGGCTTTTGCTTTGATGTCTTTCGACGAATTTACCAAACCCTTTGAAGCGAGAGGTCTTAAAGTTTGTCACAAACGTTGGATCACAAGTAATGTGATTAAAGTTTATAGCGACTTGTGGCCTCGACTCAAGATCGATGTGACTGCCTTTTATGATTATGATGGGCGAATGAAACGCGCTGGGCTGGAAACGTGGATTTTGGCCTTGAATTATAACCGTTTTCACACATTTCCTACTCGTTTATTGAAGAAACCTCTGCCGCGAATGCCTTTTGGTAACTATACTTTGCCAGTTCCACGAGAGGGTATTGAAATTCAAAAGTATCTTTACCCTGATGACTGGTGGATCGAGGTAAAACCTGTCACTTGTCTCAAGAAAAAGCCGGTCGCTTAAATTAAGGGGCTGTGTCACGGCTCAGTTATCTAATTCATTTTGTTAATTTTAATGCTAATTGTACCACCTTATTCGCTATGGCACCTGAGAAATTTGAGTTGTGAATATAGGGACTGGTTAGGACACCCGACAAACATCAGAGTTGAATACAATGCGGCTGTAGGTTATGTTGGAAGCTCATTGACCGTGCACAATCCTTTGATTCCTGTTCTCAAATTATGGCCGAATAAATTAGTGCAAAGATTGGAGACTCCAGATTTTGGACCGTTTCTCCCGGTCTCCACCTGAGAGTCTGAAACCTCCCGAATAATCGCCGAAGTTTCCCATTTCTTGTAGACTCGACTTTCCGACAATAAAATATTAAATATTTTGCGTTGTTTGAACTATTTTGATGTTGACATTAAACGTTTCCTCACAAACGCCGGTATGCAATTTTAACCTGAAGCATTAATGTGATTGGTCAAATGTTATAATGCCAACAACATCTTTTTCGAGCGTTTTGCGTCACGCAAATATTCAAAAATGCGCGGTCAGGTCCAAAAAAGCTAACAAAAACCTATAACAAATGGTTTCCCAACCATTCCACTTTAATAAACTATGATCAAACGTTACAAACATCAAAAATGAACTCTGAAAAACTGTTAGTCTACCGAGTATGTTTTCAAAAATCAAAATTGCAATCCGTTTCAGTCTTCTTACTATCCGCCCAGGGGGAGGGGAAGGGAGGAGGGGTTGGGGGCTACTCCCTTATATAAGCTATATAGGTATATGCCGCCCCACCGGGTAGGGTTTTTGCGCCGTTTTGCTCTGAAAACGGGTATACACTTTGCCCATTTTGGTGTGGAATCGGGTATGGTTTTCGAGGGAACTACAGAGAGTATAAACGTATTTATCGTTTTAATTCCAAATGAGTAAGCAAGAAAGAGAACTGCGAATTCGAAATGGATTTGAATAATTTTTTGTTTCGCTCTAACGGCGAAGTAATGATAACATAATTTCTGCCTAAAGGTCAGGTCTGAAAACCGGTATGGATTTTAGAGGTCTAGTCTGAAAACAGGTGTGGAAAATTACATTTTTTGGTCTGAAATCGGGTCAGGATTTGAGGAACCGGGCGGCACACCCCCACCAAGAATTCCCAGGAGTACCCCCCGGGGTCCATCCGTCTCTCCTTTTGTACATGCTGTGTTTTTTAAATACCTTTTTCCATGTGTTGAGTAGTCTGCTACACAGCCGTTTTTAGTGTTGTCACGCAATGCTCCTCCACTAAGTGGGGAGGAGCGTCGCGTGACGACACTAAAAACGGCTGTGTAGCTAGCAGACTATGTGTTGAGAGGTTATTTTTATGTTTTACTTAGTCTGGTGTCAGTTCCTACTGTTTTTTTTTTATTTTTATTATTTTTATTTTGATAAACTTCTAGCCTGCGTAGCAGGCGCTTGAAAGTAGTGGGCACAAGAAAAAAGGGGCGCGCGAGAAGGAGACACGCATGTCCCCCTCGCGCGCACCCGTTCTTTCTTTCGCCCACTACGTCCAAGCGCCTGCTGCACGGGCTAATAAATTAAACTTCGTGATACAGCTTCTTTAACTGGCTAACACATTCTTTTTTGGCTCGCAAACATAATTTTAGACTACATGACTACATGTAGTGAGCTTATGTTGATACTGCAAAGGACAAACCTTTGACATTGCATTTTTTACGATTTTTAGGTCCCTGTGGGGTACTCCTGGGAATTCTTGGTGAGGGTGTGCCATCCGGTTTTCCAAATCCTGACCCTATTTCCGTGACCAAAAAATGTCATTTTTTCACACCCGTTTTTAGACCAGGCCCCGGTTGCTCAAACGTCGGATAGCGCTATCCACCGGATAAATCACTATCCAGAGCGGATAGCGTAATTGATTTCCGTAATACTTATCCGCTGGATAGTGATTTATCCGGTGGAGAGCGCTATCCAACGTTTGAACAACCGGGGCCTGACCTCTAAGAAATTATGTCAATATTACTTAGATTAAAACAGCAACGAAAAAGATTTCTTAAAATCCAATTCGAATTGGCATATTTCTCTATTTTTCTTCCTCATTTCGAATTGAAACGATAAATACGTTCATACAATCCCGTCATGCCCTCGAAAGCCATACCCAATTCAAGACTAAAATAAACGCGTTTTCAGACCAAAACGGCTCAAAAACCCTACACTTTGGGGTGGCACATACCTATACGGCTTTAAATATAAGGGAGTACCCGTCTCCCCGGGGTCAAGTCCCGGGGGGGGGGCACTGCCACATATGGGCTATATAGGTATGTGCCGCTGTGAAGGGTATGGTTTTCAAGCAGTTTACTCTAGGATAGGGTATATAAATCAGAGCGTTTGGGTCTAGAATAGGGTATCATTTTTCAGGAAACTGATCTGTTGGGTGAAGATTTTATCTAGACTAGGGAAACAGCTACTCTAGGATAGGGGGGATTTGGGGGGTTTACTCTAGTATAGGGTAGCAAAATTCAGCTGAACTAGCTCTAGCTCTAGTTCCAGGGTCCCAGCGGTACATCCCCACCCAGAAATTCCTAAAGTACCCCCCCCGGGGGTCAAGTTGTACAGTGCCCCATTGAAACCCAACAAAATTTGAAGAAACATTCGTCCTTCACGTAAAATCGAACTAAACTGATCATTTCACCTGTTAACTTGTTATTTGTAAGTTTTTATAATAAAATGGTATTTTAACAAATTCAGATAGACGTTTCCCTTAGCTTTCAACACCAGTTTTGCCAATTAGTTGTTGACATAATCGGATTGATTGTAGTCTCCTTCGCAGCCGTTATTAGGGTCGTCACTCGTCACGCAACGCTCCTCCCCACTTAGTGGGGAGTGAGCGTTGCGTGACGAGTGGCGACCCTAATAACGGCTGCGAAGGAGACTAGATTGATTGCAGTCGGTACACGTTTTTATCGGATTAATTATGTTCGTAAAATCGATATGCTCTCCCCACGAAACCAAGGTATTACGCTTTGAATTGTACTTGTCTGGAGGTATTATGCTCCTATAAAATTATACCAGACTAAAATGACACTTTTTCTTGGCTCCCGTCCTTCAAAGAAGCATTCCTACACCGCCTGTCATATTACCTTAGAGAGAAAAAATGGTTCATGCTGTGATACGCGCGAGTATATATTGCTGTTGTAAAGCAATTTTGTGCTGAAGTCATTAGTTTGTGGCTTAAATACCCGTACACAAAATGTTACAGTAGCGGATCCAGACCCCCCCCCCCCGGGATCCAGACCTTCATATAGGGGAAAGGGGTGGGGGGGTGGTCATCCAGACCCTGAGATAAGGGGGGGTGCGGTCTCCAAAAAATTTTTCTTCTGCCCTTCGGGCCTCATTTTGTGTTCCTTTAGAGTTATGAAGAAGATATGACACAAATTTCATCAGGAAGCACTGACCGTAATTTTTCTGGTGATCTTTGCACGCATAGCATAAATACTTGAGAAAGAGTTCTTAAAACTCAGCGCTTTTACAAACTTTAAACGTTCCAGCTGGCGTTTCCTGTCTGGGCTTTTTTTGGATCGGTTTCAGGATATTAGTATCGGTTTCAGGATGAGTGCTTAATTAAGCATAGTTGATCCTAGCACTGGCGGTCTAGCTGTGTATTGATAAGGTTAATAAATAGGTCATAATCTTGCGAGCAGAAATAAATAATACTAAAGATGTAAAGACTGGGTATCTTTTCATTGGAAGTATGTGGTTGCAAAACGGTTAATTTTTCATTTCAGCAAGTTAATTTGGGGGTACCGAGTGTGGCGAGCAGAGTGTTTTGTTAGTACCATCGTATCATCGTTCGTCACGCGAAAAGCGTCCGGACGATATATTTTACCGATTATTAGTTTTCTTCAAATTTGTGGCCTTTAATGATAGAGAAGTATTACAGAGATAGAAATAATCATCTTGCAAGAGTTAAAGTGCGAAAAATCAGCCTTAGAAAGCGCGCGCTCACGTAGGATTCGGCCATTTTCCGCCACTTTGGACTCACTTAACTTCAAATTTCAAGCGAAATACTACGCCTACAATTTCAGTTCTAGAACAGAAAATTATTTGGTTGCCCGCGAGGAAGTTAAATAGGTCTAGGACTGAAGGCTGGGTACTTTCTTGACAAGTAAGAGCATCTCGATGCGTGAAATTATTCAAGTCTTTCCGCGACATCACCGGACTGGAAAAATATCACCAGCAGCGAAGGACTGGGACTAGGTGTAATTGACAAACTAGTTATTAAAGATTGAAATATAATCCAAGGGCGCGTTGGAAATTTGCTGATTCATCCATGAGCAGTGTCCTTCCAGTATGGCTTTTGTGGTTCATTTATCACTGTACACCACTGTGCAGTGAGGTTCTGTACTTCAAAAAGCATTCTACAGCATTCTAGAATGAAAAGTGAGTGAAGTGGGAAGCGACAAAAGTCAAAACAAACTGCTCGAGTGGAAAGTTGCGGTTGAAATGCTCTGCAATTTTTTTCAACAGCTCTACTGACGAGACTGCCTACAAACAGGAAATTATTAGAGATAATACAGGTAAGCAAAACTGTTTCCCCTTGAATCACCTTTAGCCGTCGGCTTTGCACTGGTTACTCAACAATCGTGAATTAAATTCCTCTTGCTTCTATCGAAAGAAACATTGATTTCAAAACTGCTTTTTAGCTCATGAATGACGCACTCATGCCATGGGCATTTGCACTCACTCGATTCTCATTAATTTATTCATTAAAGTCAAATTAAACACTTTTTTCTTACTTCCCTTTAATACTTAGAATTACTTTTGTTCCAAGTGCCTTTTACGCATATGTTTGGCACATTCTAGAGGGTACTAGTAAGGCGTACATTTATTTCCCAACACAAAAGAGTAGCCAGCCGGAGATGGGTCTTGTATTAATGGCAATATTCTAAAGAACACTGACAAAATTATCTGCAAGAAATAGTCCTGGAATTGTTAAAAGGACGTTGAAATAATTGAGTGTGGAT